TCTCCTTGCTCGCTTATCTGAAGTTTGCCTGTCTCTCTTCACATTTATTTTATCAGTGGAATTAGAACTTTAGGTAGTGAATTTTTTGTTGGCTTGTTTTTTGTTTGTGGTACTGGGGCTTGAACTCAGGGCCACAAACTTGCTAGGTAGGCACTCTACCACTTAAGTCATACCCCTAGCCCTTTTTACTTTAGTTAATTTTCAGTTAGAGTCTCATGGTTTTATTAGGGCCAGCAATCCTCCTGTGTACACCTGCCACATAGCTGGGATCACAGGCAGGCACTGTTATGGCTTGTTATTTGAGATAGTCTCACTAATTTTCCCTGGACTGACCTCAAACCACAATCCTTCCGATCTCTGCCTCCTGAGTCATTGGGATTATAGTTGTGTACCACAGTGCCTGGCCCCAGATAAGGGTTTGAGTAAGATTTTAAGGGGGCATTAAAGATTGGGGATGTAGCTCAGTGGTAGAATGCTTGCTTATGGTCAAGGCTGTGGGTTCCATCTCCAGCACTGTCCCCTTGTCTCCCCCCCCCCCCCCCCCCCCCCCCCCCGTTAAGGGGACATTTAAGCACAAACAATCAGATGATGTAGTGGGCAGGGTTTGCCATATGACTCTTTTACAAACCCATAGGTACTTGTGAACATTACCACTGTGCAGATGTTCTTCCCTCCCCCATCTTCTGACAGTTTAGGGAGGCAACTGAGACTCATCCACTAGTCATCTTGAGACAAAGCCTTCTCTATGAGATTTTGTTCCCCCGGGCAGAGTCTAAAGTACTAATTGGAATCAGCTGCATTAAATCACTAAGTGAGACTAGCAGCTGCCTTACCAGTGCAGAAAACCAGGAGGGGGCCTTTCTTTTCCAGTTATTCTTGTTTCGTTTGTTTCCCTTGCTTATATATGATTGCAGCCCCTAAAGAAAGGGTGTGAAGGGCACAGTGATGTGGACTCTGAGTAGATATATGGAGCCTGTAAACTTCTCTAAGTACTTTTGCCAATTCAACTTTTTTTTCATGTGTGGGATTTATTGGTGGTAGTGCTTTAACATTTCAGTTTTATCCACCCCCAAATTTGTTTACTGCCATATCTTCTCTGGCTCAGTAAGATGTTTGTTTTGGTGGTAGTGGTGGCACGTATGTATGTGTATATATATTTTAAATGTTGGGATAAGACCACCAAACTTAACTAGTGACTAAAGGGAGATTGGAACTTAGTATTACTTTACTTTAAAGACAGCATAAAATACTATCTAACAAGCTTTAGTCATAATTAGGATCTAGTTGTTGTTGGCCCAAAGCCATTGGCAAATTCTGTATGTCTGATAGCTTTTTTTCCCACTCTTAATTAGACAGTAAATGACAATTGGTGGTGCTAAATGCCTTTATTTTTTAAGTAAGATGTCTAATAGGAATTTTTTAGAATCATAAAAAGCAAGAGAGAGAAAATGTTCAAAGCATCTGTGTGCCTCATCCTAAAATAGTTATTTTTTTCCCCTCAGTATTTTTTGTAGCTTGAGACCTGGAAAATAATTTGGCAAGTATCATTAATCTGATGACTGTATTTCTAGCTGATATTTTAGTCATATTAGATAAACTATTGTCACATTTGATTGTATTTTATTCTTGTATTTCAACAATTTTAAGTTGTAGTTTAGTTTTGAAGATGTTAAAATGTAAGTCTTGTAGTTGATGGTGCATTGTGATTTCATTACATAAAGTAATTGTGTGTGTTTAAAAGCATTTAAATTCAGCAAAAAGTGTGCCATGATAATCTGCCATGCATATTTACCAAAATGCCCATTCAGTGTTTTTCACACCGGGGGATAGTACTGCACGTAAGCCTTTAAGCAAAATGTGTGCTTGATTTTTAACTCAGCCAGCTCTGAAAACATCAAGTGCCTATAAAAGCTCTTGACTTCTAAAGTGATAAGCAGGTTAGAGCCTAGAAAACATTGATTTATGTTACTAAAAGAAAAAAATTACACTTATTCTAGTCAAAATATGTCATGATCCTTAATTATTATTCAGAAAGCTTCTCATTGGAGAATCTTAGGTAGCATTTATTTTTTGTCAAGAAGTGAAACCTACTGGCAGATAATGATGGGAACAATGATCCTGAATAATTTACCCACTATGAAGAATGAATGAAGGAAGGGATAATGGATGGATGGATGGATAAAATAAGTCTCTGTAATCCAGTAAAATTCATATACTGAATTTCCTATAAAAATGAAATTAAAATTGATATTTTTACTTTCCCCATCAAAGTTCAATGGTGTTCCTTTCGTTTTTGTGTACTCTTTATATCTCTGTATATTTACTGATTGTGGAACAAAAGAGGAAGTCAAAGATTTAGTTCACTTTGTGATCACCTGGCTACAGTGAATGTAAGTAAAGTAGCATGATTGGTTATTTGAAGCACATGTTTAAGAGAGGACCTTGCCCAGGAGGAATACCATGTACCTTTGCCAACAGGCTTCATATTCCCCCTGCCAGTAAGCCCACTCTCACCCTATGTGTGTCATTTTGTACATATAGATATGAGAATAAGGAAAGACACAAAGCTTTTTTTTGGTGAATTGGGTTTTCTAGTTTTGTTTGGGGTGTGCTTCTTGGTGCTTTATATTAATAAAAATGTCACCCCTTTCTATTTTAGCATAAAATTCCATTGAAGGAAAGTCTCAAACAGAAGTATGTTTTTCTGAACTATCCAGGCTGAACTCTAATTTTGTTTAGAATTAAGATAGTCTCCTTAGTTATATGTAGTATCTCATTTTTCACTGCTATTTTTGACATGATCATGTTTGAAACACAGATGAAAATGGTATATCACACTTAGTGTGATGTTCCTGTATACAGGATGAAAATCATTATGTAGACTGTACTTGGCTGTGTGGCTCGGTTGCTGTGTTTGTAGCCATCATCCATCAAAGTAACAAGACATCTGTATCTCTAATATTTACATCTCTAATATAAATTAAAATGTGGTAATTATACCAAGCAGGAATGCTATCAACTTGAGAATCACTGTTTTAGGATGACTACATGTGTTGTTATGCATTTGGTTTCTAAAGCAGTAAAGCAGTAATGTTCAACTGAAATTTGTCCTTTTTAGCCCTTTCATGGTACTAGAATTTGAACTCAGCCTTGTGCTTGCTAGGCAGGTGCTCTACCACTTGAGTCAGCCCTAGCCCTTTTTGCTTTCTTTCTTTCTTTTTTTTTTGTTTAGGTCTCCAGTCAGCATGGACCATGATCCATCCTTCTACCTATGCCTCCTGTGTAGCTGGAATGACAGTCATGTAGCACCATGTCCTGCTTGTTGGTCAAAATGGAATCCCACTAATTCTTTTGCCCAGACTGGCCTCCATCCATAATCCTCCTGATCTCCACCTTTGGAGTAGCTAAGATTATAGGAATAAGCTACTGTGCCTAGATTAAACCAGTCTTCCTTGTATCTATAAGGCTTTATGAATGGTTCTAGAGATACTAAACTAAATCAGTTGCACCTTCAAATTGTGCATGTGTGCACATGTGTGAGTTTTCTCTCTTGCTCTTTATTGGATATGCACACCTAGACTATTGACAAACCCCAAGTCTTTGCTGGAGAGGGAAGAACCTAAGTCTATGTGGAATGAGTCTGTCAGTATAGAAATAAAAGGAAGTTTCCTTGTGGAAGTATGTGCAGCAATAAGGAGTTCCAGTGATATGGTCATCAGATTTATTCCAGAGATTTTACACTGTACTGTATTCCTACCTGGGAATGATTTTCTCTTTTGTTGAACATTTGCTCTTCTTTCTCTGGTTTCCCCTCATTCACATGCTACCCACACATCTTCCTGAACCTACCTCTTTGCAGGAAGTTTGTCATATTTATGCAACAGGGAACAGAATGCCCACGTTCACTGGTGCAGTTTCTTGCCCCAGTCTATGGGTGAGAAAGGAGACAGAGCCTGCAGACTTCTCAGCCCTCATCATTCACAAGGCCATCTTTGTTTTATTTTCCATACTCATATCCCCATCTGTTCCCTTCATCCTCTCACCACCTACCTTCTCACACAAACTCTATTTTCTTCCTCTGCTCATCTTATTTTAATAAAACAAGAGGTTAGGGGAAAAGCCAAGTCTGAAATGACCTGCTGAGTGAGATTCTGTTCCTGGGACCTAGGGTCTTCCCTGAACTGAGCCCTTTACTGGGTTAGGAATTCTTATTGAGCATGCTACCACAGTCTGTGCTGCCTCTAAAGTCATGTGTTCAGTTGTCTGCCCACTGCTTTGCAAACCTTTGCAGGCCTTAAATGGGCTAGATGATATGTATTCACAAATATTTTCTAAGAAGGAAACAGCCTTTCCAAATAACAGGTCGAAATAGTATTAGTCACTTACTTTTTTGAGTAAACTGGAATGCAGAGAAGTGGGGTGAATGGCCTGAGGTCATAGCTAGTGGAGGATCTGGCTGCTTTCCCCACTGTCCATCCTGCTGTTTCCCATAATTTTCTTTACCTTTCACACTTCTTTTATTCTTGCACAGCTATGATTGCAGTCCAGTGGGTGAGCTATGAGGATGAAGCAAATATATACATCCCTTGATACTGGAGGGATGAGGAACTTTCTCTCTTTCTCTCCCTCCCTCCCTGTCTCCCTTCATAGTCTTCCTTCCCTGTCCCTGTCCCTGTCCCTGTCCCTCCCCTCCTCTTTCTTGTCTTTCTTTATTACTTGGTCTGGGGTTTGAAGCCAGGGCTTCATGCTTGCAAAGTAGGTGCTTTATCACTGAGCCATACCTCCAGTTCATTTTGCTCTGGTTATTTTGGAGATGGGGGTCTCAAGAACTGTCTGCCCAGACCAGCCTTGAACTGCAGTCTTCCCAATCTCAGCCTACCAAGCAGCTAGGATTACAATCATGAGCCACTGGCTCCTGACTCACTCATTATTACATATGTATGGGGAAAATGAAGCCTCTCACATCATTCAAAAGTAACATATTCTTATTTTTCCTTAAGGATGAAGAAGAAGAAATCAAACTGGAGATAAATATGCTGAAAAAGTATTCTCATCATAGAAATATTGCAACATACTATGGTGCTTTCATTAAAAAGAGCCCTCCAGGACATGATGACCAACTCTGGGTATGTGGATGTTTGAGTGTTTATGGGCTTTCCTCTGTGATTGTAGTATAAGGACAGTAAGGACTTTGCAGGCAAGAAAAACAAAGAAGGGACAGTAGCTGGTAGAGAGACTCTAAAGGCTTTTTGGCCTATATCTGTTGTTGAAATATAGCTTTTTTTTTTTTTTTTTGATGTTCACTTCATATTGCATGGGAGAAAGTTAGTTCCAGAAATGAAATTTTCTGGAAGGAATGTGATGAAATAGCAAGGAAATTGCAAGCTTTCCTTCATAGGAACCAATTACTATGAAAGCTTAGTAAATTTCTTTTTTTAAAAAGCCAGCTCATAGTGAGAGGCAGATCTCAAGAAAGGAGAGTTTTTTCAGTCACTAAATAATAATATTAATGAAAATAGTTATTTTAAAGCAGTAATTCTGAGGAAATTTTTGGAATTGATACATTTGGCCTTATAATAATAATATACTAATAAACGTGTTCCTTTTGAACACATTAATATTCAAGATTATGACCCTGAGAGACTATCAGATATATGGTTATCATATTATTTGTGCTGAGAATATTGTACTTGTTAAGCAGGAAGATAGATTGATACTTGTGTCAATGACTTTTAAAAGCCCAATGCAGAAAATGTTTGAAAAATTATGAAAATAGAATGGAAAAAATTACCCTAAATCTAATCATAGTTAAAATTTTACTTTAATTGAGTTCATTTTCTGGGTACTTTACACATAAAGTTGTGATCATGTTGTTCAGACACTTCAATATTATAAACATTGCATTTTAAAAAATTAATAAAATAGCATTTTACTTTTTGAATTAAACCCAGTTTATATTAAATAGTTTGAAGACTAATGTGTAAAAAGTAGAGCATCTTTGGGGCAAAATGAGAAAAATGCTAGGGAGTATTTGAATCCGATTTCTGATAATTTGGCAGTGTTGAAAGAACAAATGGTTGTCTTATGCCATGTGCTAGGAGAGAGGAGGGCCTTTCAAAACCGCCATGCTACCATATGCTGTAGAACATCACGCATTCTCAGTTTCCTGGACACGTGTACACAGTGAATACACTGTCCTGTGAAATGAACTCTCATTTATGTGGATGCTCCAAAGTGATCACATAACATGTCACGTGTCAGGAAAGGGGGCAATACAGTGGGACTCCATTTTCTAACCTCCTTGGATGTGTACCGAAACCTGGGATGTGCTAGTCACAGTGTGTCTTGTCTGCCCTCTAGCTTGTTATGGAGTTCTGTGGAGCTGGGTCCATTACAGACCTTGTGAAGAACACCAAAGGAAACACACTCAAAGAAGACTGGATCGCTTATATTTCCAGAGAAATCCTGAGGGTAAGGAAAATAGGTGCTAGTGCCCCAATCTGTGATCCTAGTGCTTGCTTCCATGTTGGAGGATGTGTATAGGTTGTAAACAAACACCGTTGAATTTTATATAAGGGACTTGAGCATCTTTAGATTTTGGCATGTGAAGTGGGCTGGGGATATTCTGGAACCAATCCCCTTCAGATACCTAGGGACAGCTGTAGTATTTTTGTATTTCTCTGTATTTTTCTTCTAGGTTATCATGACGTACCTAATGGCAGCTTTCCTTTGGAGTTAAAAAAGGAAATCAGAGTGAATGGGAGAAGAAATTATCTTGAACTGTTGTTCTTATTAGGAGTCTTGTGATATAAACCAATACTTATGGTACTGAGTGCTGGTTTTCAAAATCATCTTGTGGACCTTGGCATTATCTGTTAGAACCTGTTGCAATATTTATGAAGTTCTAATGTTATGTATAGCCAATTGCAAAGCTAGCTAATGAGCTCAAGAGTAAGTTTCTGAATTGTTGTTTTAGAGCTATAAGTGATTTCTCTTAGAAGTATAGTCAGCCTGATTGCATAAGCAAATGGTTTTAAGGATTTCATGTTTGAAAGCCACATCTGAGTTATTAGTGGGTCTCTCTCTCTCCTCCAGCCATCACAGTTTTTCTTTCTACATTACCCATAAATTACATCTACTTAAATTCCTTGATTATATTTCATTTACCTACCGTATTTTAAAAATACAAACTGCAGAGTTAAACTGAAATCCCATTCTAAGTCTTGTAACTGGCTAGTTATTTTATTTTTCATTTATATGTAAAACTATCCACTTTTTATATTTAAGATTCATAGAAAACTGTAGTTTAAAAGCTGCCATTTAGGACTCCTAGAGAAATATTTAATTTCTTTTTATTTAAATATTTTATAAAGCCCTTGAAGACAAGAATTCCATGAATAAGACTAGTGTGAGGGTGGGCAGTATGGTGGCGGGAGACTCTTCTTTTCATAATGACAAACATATGTGATTATTAATGTCAGACTCTTTATTTTTTATGCCTAAAAATGAGAAACTAAGTATCCTGTTCTAGAGTACTGTTAAGGAATTCAGTAAAATGATAGGCAGGATGAAAAAGTGGGTGAGAGTTAGTCAGACTTGAGTTTGAGTCCTGCCTTTGCTATTCATCTACTTACTGCACACAGTCAGCTTTCAGAACTCATTTTCCTCACCTGTACATTGTGAATATCAACTCTATAAAATTACTGTTGTTAGTAGAATTAAACGAGTTAATGTATGTGAATCAATGCGTTGTGTGTACATAGCTAGTACTGTTTTAGTTATTATTACCTGCTTAAACATACACTTACCTTTCTTGTGTATAATTCCAATTTGAGATTTCTTTTTTCTTTCTCTGCCTCCTTTTTTTTGGATACAGGGTCTCACTGTGTAGTTCAGGCTGGCCTTGAACTTGAGGTCCTCCTGCTTCTGCCTGCTGAGTGCTGGGATTGCAGGGAGGTGCCACAAGTATGAGATTTAAGCAGAGAATTACTCTGGCAAGCCTTTAAAGACAATTTACATGGTTTTATATATCCAGGAAGCATTGTTTACCTGTTACCTGTAGTATATATCTATTTAACCATTTTACCATCACCAACCTCAGGAAGCAATGAGAAGAAAAAGAAGCCTCAGTTATTTGTGGCTCCTAGTCAGCTTGAGTGTGGTAGGTAAATAGACATAGTTTTGAAATGCTACACCTCCTTTCCACCTCTATGGGCATCTGAACCAAGAGCCATCTTTACCTACTTGTCATCCAGAATGGGAATTTTTCCTATGATAAGTTTACATTAACTGAAAGCAAACAAATACTCCTAGTGAGGTCCTATGTGAATTGTACCCTAGTGTGTGTTTGTTGTAGGAGTCACTAAGAGTTGATTTGGTAGAGAAAGCAGTATGAAGTCTCATGTAAAAGGAAGGCTTTCCACATGGAGGAAGATAACCTGGGTTCTCACAGATGTGGCTGGGGGTAGCTAATTTTTGTAGTGGCAAAACTTTTCCTCATTTTTTAGTATGTAGTAGATAAAAATACCATGTTGGGATCTTCTGAAGGATGAGGGTCATAGGTTTGTAAGTTTTAGATATCAGAAATGCTGTCTTGGGCTAGCCAACTGAAACCATCTGCACCAGCAAAGCCAGTGTGTTCCTGCCAGCTCACTCCCACATTCCCACTCTATGCAGCAATTTTCGTATTTGGTAGAAAGCAGTATTTCATACCTAGGGTGAGAGTGTAGAGCTTCCATAGTCAATGCTGAGGGGCAGCCCTTGACTGTTCATTTGTCCTAAGTTCTAAATTAAGATACAGTTACAGGAAAGACATCTCCTAGTTTTTGCTCTAGAATAGACTATTTACTAAATATTCAGACTTAGTATCTTTGCTAAGGAGGAATAATTGTGACCCAATTCTGACATGGGGGGAGTAGTCAGTGACATACACTCTTCCAGTTGTTCCATACAGAAAAAATGTACTTATTGTTCCAAATAATCATAACTTAAATTAGAATTAAACAGAGCAGTTAGACACACCTTACACAGGTTACCCAGCAGAAACAGTGATCCTTACGTAATGTGGACAAGGAACTAGGCATGGTATCATGTGTTTACTGCTGGCAGCTAATAAAATTGCTTGCAGGCCACATCTATTTGAGAAGACACTTATGTTTATTGCTAAGATAAATTGTCAAAGTGTAAGCAGAAATTTTCTGCAAATCACCAAAAATGAACTGAAGAAGTAGGTATAAGAATTAGGGAGTCTTTACTTTTCTCCTTTTGGTGTTTGATGTTACACTATTCTGAAGGAAGAGGTACTTTCTTCCTAACTTAAGGCTCTTTCCCGAGTCAGTGCTTTGTGGTATAGCACTGCATATCCTGTGTTATGAAGAGTAAACCACCATTAAATAAGCTCTATTTTATTTCACAGACAGATTAGTAAATACATTTAGAACACCCGATGTTAGAAAAATTTGTCTTTTATAGAAGCTGCTATATTTAATTCATGTCCTATAAGTAATAATAACAACTGTGGCCTCCTCCAAAATATTAACAGGAAGCTGGTGGTGCTTCATGCCTGTAATCTCAGCACTTGGGAGGATGAGGCAGGAGGATTGTGAGTTTAAAGCCAACCTAGGCTACATAGTGAGACCCTGTCTCCAATTTTTTTTTTTTTCTGGGAAATCAAACCTTTACCTGTAACCGGCGCTTTTTGGATTGAGATATATCATAGTAACTAGGTTAATATAGATTGCTTGTGTTTTTAGGAGACAAACCATAGAGAGACTTCTCTAGCTCAGGACAGAAGGAATAAATGAATTGTGAGAATGGAGCATTTCTGTTTTTCAGACCATATTGGATATAACATGTATTTTTGTTCATCTACCACCTCTCATAAGAAACATACTCTTGGACCTCATTCCAGATACAGGGTCATCAAAAAGTACTATATGCCAGTAGGGTATTTTCTTGGGAAAGAAATGGTTTTTATTTTCACTCAAGGCTCTTCTGTCAGGAGAATCATTTTACACTAAGGCGAAGGTGCATTTGATCAGCACTTAGCCATTTGTTGCTGTGCACTGGGAGGACTAGCCAGAATTCCAGAGCCATATTTTAAACCCTTCTTGAATTGAACCCTTTGCTTACCCCCTGGGATATGTCTAGTTCACAGGGGGTCACCCACCCACTGAAAGATAGAAGTTTGGCATGGGAAAGGAACCGCCTTACACACAAATAGCACAAATTATAGCAGAGAAACTGCAGATGGTAATCTAGTGTGTGTCTCAATGGCATAACTAGAAAGTGGCCATGTTGCTCTCATATGAGGGAACCTAGCCCATTGGAAGGGAGAGTGGGCGGGCAGTCTTTCTGTATTGGTGAAATCTTCCTGGGAATGAGCTAAGAGTAAATTTTAGGTTCTAAATGTGGATTCACAAAACCTTTGGCCCACATATGCACTTTATTATAAAAAGTATGTTCCTGGCTGTTTATTTACAGGGACAAAGAACTAAAACCCACATCCGTCTTTCTTATTCAGGGACTAGCACATCTTCACATTCATCATGTGATTCATCGGGATATCAAGGGCCAGAATGTATTGCTGACTGAGAATGCAGAGGTGAAACTTGGTACGTGGCCGATGTATACCATGATCTAATACTTGCCTCTGATGCAAACTGGCAACACTCCCTCTGCCTCTTTTACATTTCGCTACAGTTCATTCTATTCATGTTTTCTGTTTCTGTTCTTCTTAAGAATTTGTACTGTGAAGACACCTTCTCCTTATATTTTTCTTTCTTTGTATATTGTTTGTTAATTTTGTTCTACTTTTTCTTCCTTTCTCTTTCTCTCATAGTTGATTTTGGTGTTAGTGCTCAGCTGGACAGGACAGTTGGACGGAGAAACACATTCATAGGCACCCCTTATTGGATGGCTCCTGAGGTCATCGCCTGTGATGAGAACCCGGACGCCACCTATGACTACAGAGTAAGAGGCATCTATCCTTCTGGGCCTCACTAGGTCATTGATGTTGCTGAGGATTGCGGAACTTGCTTATGAGTTGCATATCCTATATTAATGAGAAGGCTTGGACCCTGTTTTAGGTGTATGTTTTCCAGGATGATGCTTAGATGCTGTCTTTTTTCCCCATTCGCTTCACCTGTGTTCTCACTAAGGAATGCTGTGGTTCCAGGCAGCCTGGGTTACTGTGTTGGGCATGAAACTTTTCCTCATGAGTCAGTTAAATACTTCATCTAGTTTGCTGCCATTCTTAACTTGAAAAGTACATTATTATTTAAACTATTGTCAGAATATTGTAATATCTATGAAATATTAGACTATTCTTGTTTAAAGAGCTTTACAGCTTTGATTAAGTAAATAAATCTGTGCAAGTATTAGAGTAACCTCTAGTCTTGCTTCCCCTGCCCTGCCCCCCACCCCGACCCCCCTTAATGCTTGCTAGGCAGGTGCTCTACCACTTGAGCCACTCCAGCAGCTATTGAGTGACCTCTAGGGACATGAATCAATAATGCACCTTCTTGATCCGGGTATAAATCTGTATTTGACAATCAAACTCAAATTGACTATATTTACCAAGACTTTTTTTTTCTTTAAAAAAAAAAACCTTGCCTTAATTAAATGAGCTAGAGTGGCTAATGTACCTATCAGTGATATTCAAAATTGAATTCATGTCTTAACAATCCCCAATGCATTTCAGTATTTATTACAAATACCTCCCTCCCTGCCACACACAAAAAAAACCAAAACCAAGTACCCAATTAATGAGGTTGAATTTAAGTCAGTGCTGCAGAGGAATTTTTATATTTTAATTTAAAAATAGATTACAGATTTCATGACTTTCCATTCTAGTATATACTTCTAAAATTTGAAAATGCTACCCAGCATTCCCAAAATAAAATACATACCTAAGTATGTAAAAACATTTCTTTAGTGCAAAGTCTAGTTGATTTATAGCCGACTTTTCCAAACTAATATCCAGTGTAGGACCAGACAGTATATTTGGTTTGGCCATTGAGACTCTGTTAATCTAGATTATCTCTCCCTGTGGGTCTCCACCCCCCCTTTCATAAAGCTGACTTGCCGAAGAGGCTGGGCCTATTACAAAGTGTTCTGTTCTCTAGATTTGTCTTCTGACTTTGTTGTGATGTCCTTAGCTTATTTCCTGTCAATTGGAAAGGCTCAATTAGTATAAAGAAAGACCTTACCAAGATGACCTCACAGGAGGTAGGAGTGCTTTATGTTACTTCACACCAAGGGATCAGTATCCCTAATTATCCCACCACTGATGCTGCCAAGAGTGGTTTTCTGGGATAAGAGCCCCCTTGTATCTCTGTTGTATAGAAAACACCATAAAAATGTGGGTGAAATTTGTAGGCCTATCCTTATTCCTATATCTAAACATATAGGTCTGAACTTTGTAACATAATTACAGGTGCCTTTGAAAACTCTTAAACTGAGTAATTGATTGTTTGGTTAGGGTAGAATATAACTAAAAGCATGTTAATGACAATAACTATATATTATCTGCTTTTTAAACTAGGTTTTGGATTGTAAGAAATTTTGGCTGATACTTTCCAACAGTCAGTGTTTATTGAGTAATTAAAATGGACAAAGATGCTTGTCTTCATAGCCCCTGTATTTCTGTAGGGAATAAAGTTTAATTTGAATTTTGAAGTTAACATTTCAAGAGAGTCAGGAGGACAAGACTTCATGCACAAAAAGACCGTCTGCCTGCAACTCTTCTCTCATCTGGTTTGGGGCTGAGTGTAGATTGCTCAAGAGCATGATTTGAATTAGGGAAGTATGGCTGTATGAGTTCTCTTGTGCACACTTTATAAAGACTGTTTTCTAGTCTTTAAACTTTAAGATCTCAATTAAGTTTGAGGTGTTCACAAACAGAAAACAGAAAAACAAATGTATATCTGGGCCAGGAGTAAGTTTAAACTTACTATACTTGTAAGGAAATGAAGGAACATACTAAAGAGGAGACTTACTGGACAGTTAGGTAGGGAAAAGATTTTAAGTGAACCACTCCAGTTCATTTGTAGATAATGAGTGGTTTTAATTAAACCAATATTCTCTTTATGTTATTTATCATTCATTCATTCACTCGCTTGTAAAGTCTTCCTACAAATGAGTTTTAAATTTCCTGACAAGCTTCTTTTCATTTTGTTCACCTAAAGAAAACCTTAAGCCAAGCGTGGTGGCTCAGTCCTGTAAAATCCTAGCTACTCAGGAGGCAGAGATCTGGAGGATCAAAGTTCAAGGCCATCCCGGGCAAAAAAGTTTGTTTGTTAGACCCCATCTCAATCAATGTCTGGGCATATGGTGCACACCTGTCATTCCAGCTCCCCATACATGGGGAAGCACAAATGGGATATGTGGGTAACAAATAGAACACAGGGAACCTTAACTAGGATGATTATGGTCCAGGCCCAGGCATAAATTGAGATGATGTCTCAAAAATAACCAATGCCAGAAGGGCTAGTGGAGTTGATTCAGTGGTAGAGGACCTGCCTAGCAAGCGTGAGGCCCTGTGTTCAACTTCCCAGTACCATCTCCTCCCCCGAAAGACAGCTTTCAATTCATTTGTGTGATGGCCAAAAATATAAATGAGTCAATGGCTTTGTAGCTAATACGGTATTTATAACTTACCATTTTCTTTTCGCAGAGTGACCTTTGGTCTTGTGGCATTACTGCCATTGAGATGGCAGAAGGTGCTCCCCGTAAGTGACTTTTTTTCCTTTTAAGCCCATTTGTTGCATGTGGTCCCCAAAAGTTCGAAGAACATCTCTATGAATAAAGCCATTACTGGTGGAGCAGTTAGATAAAGGAGCCATAAACACGGTTTTAGGTGTAGAAGGAATTCTTGGCAACCACTGTTTTGGAGATCTATATATAGGAGGTCTGTATGCTGTGTTTTCTTTTATTTAAGAGTGTGATCTGAGATGATGCAAATATCAAAGAATTAGTGATGTCTTTTTGTTTTACATTTTAAGCTTAATTTTCTGTGAAATTGATCCTAACACATGAAATTTTAAGTATTACCCAAGTTTTGGCTTTATAAATAGAAACATTACTTTTTATTTATGGATTTTTTTGTATTACTGATGAAAATTTGTAAGAGTGTTTACTCTTCCTTGGATTACATAAATGAGGACTTTATAAAATCAGTCTTTCATCAGGGACAGGATGGAATTATAGAGAAAAAACCCAGCATTTTTTGCTGGTACCCCTAGAAAAAGGTATATATTTTATGTCCAACTGTCAGATACCTAACGACCAAATAAATATTTGTTGAATGAAGGAAAAAACTGACAGCATAAATTAATTTGCATTACAGAAATGGAAGCCCACTTTGAACACAATAGGATTCCTGAGTTTCCTACTAAGAAATTGAGGCAGGAAAGCATTGATTGATCATTTGTCTCAGTTTTCTTTCATAACTGGAATACTTTTGTCTGCTTCTTCAGCACTGATTCCCAGCTGCTTGTAAGAATCTTTTGAAGATAAATAAACATATGAAAATATACATTGCCCATGACATATTAATGTGTACATGTGTGGTGTGACTACCTCCATTAGAGAGAGTGACAGAAATACAATAGTGGCACAGAATTAAGCAAGTCCATTTTTATTTTTGCTTTACTATAGTAACACTAGCTATAATAATAAACAGTAACATTTCTGGAGCAGTTAATGTGCTTGTTCTGTTCAAGGCATTGTGTGAAGGACTTCATAAACTGTATGTTCTTTAATCTTTAAAACAACCCTATGAAAGTATAATCACTTTCAATTGTAATCTTAGAGATGGCTTTAAAACTTAAGTGTTACCTTCTTTAAGGCTTTATTAATATTTATACTTGATTTATGAAAGCTTTCCAATGTCTGCTTGCCATTGGATATTACTCTTTTTGCTTGTCTCCTTTCTATATTTTGTTATTTTTAAGTGGGAAATGAAAGGTTAAATTGCTTGCCATGAATCGTATCAGTTGGACAATGCATTTGGTATTATCTGTGAAAGAGCACTAGAAATCAAGAATGAGTAAAAAAGTAAGTGCATACTGACACTACTGTCTCCTTTCTCCCAGCTCTCTGTGACATGCATCCAATGAGAGCACTGTTTCTCATTCCCAGAAACCCTCCTCCCCGGCTGAAGTCAAAAAAATGGTAAGCTATGTATGTATTTTTTGTTCTTTTCCTTTGCCTTCTTTCCTCCTTCTCTTAATTTAATTGTTCTTTGTGGTTTCTTCCGGGATAAAATTCTGGCTATTCTAATTTTAGTGAGTACAAAGGCCAATACTCTAAAACACCAATTAAAATTGCATTCATTTTTGAGTTTTTGCCTTGGCAAATTCTCTTTGAATTACAAAATAATGGCAAGTGATCATGTGAAACACCATAACATAGTTAAATAAAAAAAGCTCTATTTTAATACTTAGTGTAATATGTTGCTAAACATTTTCCCATTAAAAAGGCAAAGCTTTGTTGATTTTTAAGTTCCTCTGATGAAATAGGATAGTAGACATTTATAGCCACAGCTATGTGTGAGGCTGAGACAGGAGGATTGTTTGAGCCCAGGAGTTTGTGGCCAGCTTTGGCAGCATAGCAACAACTCATTTTGAGAAAAAAATTAATTTAAAATATAGAATTAATGGGGGGGTGTTACTGTAATTTTTTAAACAAATTAAGCATACTCCTTTAAATTCAAGATGTGCATATTAACAACATGGTCCTGTCTCCTTGGATGTCCATCTTCTCTTTCTGTTCTCCTTCATTTGTCAACTAAAATACTGGTGATTACAACTTTCTCTGAGGAAATTTCAACATCGTGGGGACATATTTTGGACTAATTTAAAGATCTTTAGGACAGAGAGCAATGTCTTGTTCTTTTGCCTGGATTTTGCCCTTTTGTCCCCTCCTGAACTTTTTCCTGAGTCCTTTCCCGTCAGTTCTTGTCTGCACTCAAGCTCCTCATGCATGTGGGCCCTCCCTCCTTCTTGTTTCCCTCTGTTTTCATGGGCTTATCTATTTCACTCATACCTACCTACTATGGGTTTTTCTTTTGTTTTGTTTTCTTCTCTTTCAAACTATTCTTACTTAATGTTGGCTCTGTTAGGATCTTGTTCCTCCTGAAATATACAACAGGTCTCACGTGTGCTTTCCATTCTGGACTTGATCTTTTCAGTTGTTAATTGTCTGCTCATTTCTGATGTTTTACAGTTTTCTTTCTCCTTTTGCATATAGAGGCACTCACATTTTCATCCCAGTTTTCTTCATACTCTTTCCCTTTTCTCACTATTCTGACCCTCAACACATTCCACTGTTTATCTTTCTTTTGCCAACAGGATTTTTCTTATTTTTTGAATGTTATCTTTAGCTACATTTGATTCTAGAAGATTGAATTCATCTAATTCTATTTACCAGTTTGTAGGGGGTTGTTAAAGGCCGCAAAGGTGTTAACCTCGATTGATTCCTTGGATTAAGACATAACTCTAGGCATCTTGGGTAACCAACCCTAAGGTCACCAAATGTGTATAGTAGACATCTTCTGGAAGTATGCTATGGACCCAGATTACTCTTTAGTTCATGCTAAGTGAAGTGATACTGTTTTCCTCTCTTTACAAGATTTTATTGAAGGGGGTCTATACTGGGACTCCCAGTATAGTAATCTATACTATAGATTACTATAGTAGTGATTACTATGAATGCTCTATCTTCAGGATATCTCCAACTCTGTCCATTACTTGGGTTACCACTGTGTCTACAATATACACTGGCAAAAAAAGAGTGCTTCTAAATTCTTTTCTTCTCCCAGACTTTCTCTAAACTTGGTAAGATGCCACATTCATCCGTTTATGTCACTGTGAGGTGATTCCATAGATAAAATTCTTTTCTGACTACTCTCTTCCTGTCCACCAGATGTAAACTTCTGCTACTGTTATTGGAGAAATGCCTGTCAAATGATGGTTAGTGGCCCCTCTTCCAGCAGAATTCAGTCATTGATTTAAAAAAAAAAATTGTAGGTGATTGATTCCTAAATCGTAGTTTGTGGACCTAGTGCATAAAATAAAGTTCATGGCTCCAATCTCTCTTAAGTTTCTGGTCTAGGGAGTGACTCAGAGACTGTTTTTAGTAAACTCTCTGAAATGATCCCTGTGGGCTTAGGTTTTAGGGATCTCTATGTTAGCGTGTTCCAGTAGACAGTATGGTGTAGATTCTCCCATGCTCCTCATTAACTATGGTACAGCTACTTTGAGTGACATTGAGAGAGACTCTGTGAGCTGATCCTGACCTATTTTTTCCATTCTCTTTTACTTTTCATACTAGCCTCAGAAAATGAGTCATGATTCTCTGACACTGTTGTCCCTTTGTTCATGTTGTTTCTGCACTCTACATTCTGGGATGCTGTCTTCTCTCTCCCATCTTTGGAACATCAGATATCGTACCTTTAACTGATGTTCAACCCACTGAAGCAGTTTTATTTCTTCTCCTCTGTAAGTTTGATTATGTACCTGCTATTGTGTATACCTAAGTTTCCTCTTCTTTATTTCCTATGTATCTTTCTTATTGAACCTAACAGACATGAACAAATTCGTACATAAATATTTTTAATTGAAAAATAGTGAATTTGAATGGAAATACAAGATAGTAGAAGTGATTCTTGAAAGCAGTGAGGCAATTTTCTAAGACCCAGTACTAAAACTGAATAACTCATTCAGTTGACAAAAACTTAATAAATTATTTTTGTGGTGTGCCATGCTTAATAGTGGTGAGCATTGTCAACAAATTGAAAAATAAGAATCATTCTTAATCTGTGCCCTTTCAAACCACTAAGGGAGACAGAAACATAAAGTACACAGTTTGTTAAATGCCAATAATGTTCCTAACTAGGAAAATGTAGGGTGGGATGTTGGCAAAAGAAACAATCCCAGAGCTTTGTCTCTAAAGATATGATAGGTGAAAGTGTCTTGGCCAAGGGTAGACTTGTGCATGGGTCCTCCTGAGCTGGGTGTGGACAAACAGGCAAAGCTAAAAGTGGCTGGTAGTGCAAATGTGAGTGACAGAGTCATTCCCATCAGAGCTGTCCACTCCTGTCACAGTAAGCATTGAGGACCAATCAGCTAGCCAGCATTGAACTCTGGGTGAAGTGTCAAATAAGCAGACTCAAGAAGCAGGTTTTTGAAATTTCCGTTCTCATCTTCTAGGTGCCAGGCATCTGTTCTTTGTCTGGCTCCCTGTTAGTGAAGACCTCCTTCTATGCTCTTGCCTCTTTGATCCCCATGATGTAGTGACTAGTGAGCAACATTACATTTAATCCCAATTGATTTCAACCTGTCTTCCTTCATAGCTCTCTGTGCTATGTCAATGGTATAAGTTAATGTTTCTGATTTCCAAAGATCCTGAGTTTCCTATTTATGATCTTACATTGTTCCTGTGCATTTGCAGATATTCACAGTGACTTCTGAAGCTCTTTGTTTTCAGGCTTGTAAGTTACTGATATTTTGGAGCTTTGTACTTTGTGGTAGAAATTTGATGATATTTTCCACTTCCTCTTACAGGTCAAAGAAATTTTTTAGTTTTATAGAAGGATGTCTGGTGAAGAATTACATGCAGCGGCCCTCCACAGAGCAGCTTTTGAAACATCCTTTTATAAGGGATCAGCCTAATGAAAGGCAAGTTAGAATCCAGCTTAAGGATCATATAGACCGGACCAGAAAGAAGAGAGGGGAGAAAGGTATTAAGTGTGTATTTATTTTCATCTTTTTTTGTTTACTATTTTTTATATATTTTATTCACTTAGTATCAGAAACAGTTCTTCAATCTGTTCTCCTAAAACCTGGACTTTGTTTCCTATTTGAACAAATAGCTTTATCATATCTTATTTTATCTTATTTTGGCATTTATATCTTCATACATAATTCTGTTGCATACCTCTATTTCCTTAGGACAAAATTCTACTGCTATGTCAAAGGTATGAACTTTTTTTGTTTTTAAAAAAGCTCTTAATGCACATTGTCAAATTATAGTCCCATTCTCAAACAAAATGGTTTTTGTCAACTTTTTAAAGCAATCATTAACAAGTGATTATTTTCTCATACTTGTGTTTTCTTTTAAAATAATTTTGACTATATGATAGAGGGACAATATTGCTTTGTTTCAGTTAAAAGTTTTTCTTTTAGTGATTTGTTAGGTTTTCTTTTTGTCTTTTTTCTCTTTTTCTATAGAGATGTAGTTTTGTAATTTTTTAAAAGTGCATAATGCTTTTTTTTTTAAAAGATGCTTTTTAAAATTAGATTAGTCATACAAAGGTGTTTAAGCCATTTTCCATATCTGCATGCAATATAACCTGACTAAATTCACCACCTCTCTTTCACTCTCCTTTGTCCTCCTTCTTAAAACAATTTCAACAAGTTTCATATATATATGAAAATAGAAAAATACATATACACAGTATTTTGACCAGGTTTGTCTCCTCCATACTCTGCTTTCATCCTCTACTCTCCTGCTAGCACCCATCACCAAACAGAACCTTTTTTACATTTCTGTCATTCTTTTTTAAGAACTACACTTCACATATGAGAGAGAATAGTCTGGCTTATTTCACTTAATGTGATCTCTGGTTCCATTCATTTTCCTGCAAACCATACAATTTCATTCTTTATGGATGAGTAATAGTCCATTGAGTATATAATTGCCACATTTTCTTTATTCATTAGTCAGTTGACTTACATTTCTTTTGATATATTCCCAGGGATGGTATAGTAGGATCATATATTACTTCTATTTTTATTTTTTAAGGATTCTCCATACTGATTTTCATAGTGGCTAAACTAATTCACATTCCTACCAAAATGAATTCAGTGTCGTTTTGATTTGCATTTCCTTTATGGCCAAGGATGTTGAGCATTTCTCCATGTGTTTATTGACCATTTGTACTTCTATTGAAAACTCTTCAATCCAATTGCCCATTTATTAATTGCATTATTTATTCTTTGGGTGTTTTTTTGGAGCTCTTTATATTCTCAATAATAACTGAAAAAGCTTTTTCTCCCATTTCATAGATTACTGTTCCCTTTGCTGTGCAGAAGCTTTTTAATTTGATATAATCTCATTTTTCAATTATTCTTATTTTCTGAGCAATTGGAGTTCTGTTCTGAAAGTATTTCCTATTTCTGTATCTTCAAGTGTTTCTCCTACATTTTCCTCCCGTAGTTTCAAAGTTTCTCCATTTGGAATTGATTTTTTGTGCAGGGTGAGAGATAGGGGCGTCTAGTTTTAGTCTTCTACCTGTGGATATTCAGTTTTCACAACACCATTTGTTGAAGAAGCTGACTTTTCTCCAACATAAGGTTTTGGCACCTTTGTCAAAGTGAAGATGGCTGGAGCTGTGTGGGGTTATTTCTGGATCTTCTGTTCTATTCCATTGATCTACATGTCTGTTTTTGTGCCAGTATCATGCTGTTTTTGTTACTATGGCTCTAGTATAATTTGAAGCCAGGTATTGTGATACCTTCAGCATCACTGTTTTTCTCAGAACGGCTTTGGCCATCCTTTGGTATCTTTTGTGCTTCCATATGAATTTTAGGATTGATCTTTAAAAAAATTATATCTGTGAAGAATGATAGTGGAATTTTTATGAGGATTGCACAGCGTGGCTATTTTCACAATATTGATTCCGCCAGTTCAGGAACATGAGAGATCTTTCCATCATCAGTTTCTTTCTTCACTGTTTTATAGTTTTCATTGTAGTATTTTCACCTTCTTAAAATCTTTCTTTCTAGGCTCTTGCTAGCCAGAATAGGTCATTCCTTCTCCAACCATGAGATTGTTTGTGTTCAGTTGGCTAGTGCTCAGATAATTTGTCTCTGCCATGCAGTTCATTGATTGGGCCTAGAGTTTGTTCTGCTAGAGCTGTGTGGTATGTCCCAAACTGAATCCATTTGACAGGCATTGTGGTGGGTCAGCATTGGTGGGATGGTTTCCTTCTCTGTTTTGGGAGCACATCTTTGGCGCTATTTATTTTACTTACTTTGGATGTTTTTCTGGTTCACTTCACTCAGGGCTTTTTGAACAACATTATGAGTGTGTTCTGTGTTGCTTGTCTCAGAAACCCAGGGTTTCTTGTTGGTTCACTCTGCTATAGGTATTGTGCTTAGGCATGGGCCACACATATGCACAGACTGCTTATCTCTTATTACTGTATAACACAAATATAACGTCAGAGTTACTGAGATGGCTTTTCTGTCCTGGTATCTTTGTTTTATATCTTTACATATACTGTGCCCATCTGCCTGGAGTTTTTCCTGTTTTTTTCTGTCCAGCAATTTGTATTTAATTCTTAATTACCATCTTCACCAGTCTTATCTTCTGAGGCTGCTGGCCTACACTGATATATAACTTCACATAATAGCATTTGGATCACTCATCCCATTCATGAATTTATGTTGACATTCAAATTTCAAGGCCAAAGAAGAAACTGAAAAAGAGCAAATCCAAGGCAATAAGAGTATTGGTCAAGGGACTGGGGTTGTAGCTCAGTGGCAGATAACTTGTCTTTATGTGTTAAGCCTTGAGTTTGACCTCTGCCTCCTGCTGAGAGAGAGACAGAGACAAAGACAGACTGACTTTAAAGTCATCTTGAAGGCTTTTTGCATGTTTGACTTTTCATAGTTAAGTCATCATTGGAGCTCATTTTTTTCCCTCTGATGGATTCAGTCACAAAATAATTAAACTTTGTATATTAAGTTATATGATTATAACAAAGTGAGTTAAAGGTTGAAAGTAAAAATAAATCTTCTTCTCTTGGCTAGTAGCCCAATTTTTAGAAAGTATTATTTCTATATAGGATCATTTTCCCATTACTGCATCATAATACAAATATTCATGGACCAATTTTGGGAAAATAGGATAAAAGTGAAAATGTGTTATCCATGTTAGAACTTTTATTTGAATTCTGCTCCAATTGGAGCAATTTCTGTCCCATTCTTCTGGTGTTTTTTTTTTTTTTTTTTTTTTGCCTTTATTATTTGTGGGAATATCTAATTTTTTTTTCTTGCTGTGAGTACCTACTTAGTGCTTCAGGTTTTGTTCATCCAGCAGACCTTTCTATCTGCTGAGCCCTCAGTGTATCCCTCAAATAGATTCTCTTGGTTGTCTTGGTTAGTTTTAGCAGTTAAACTTTTCTCTCATTAAATAGGCTTTCATGAATTTGCTGGCACTCTTCAGCTACTTTATTTGTATGCTGCTTTGGAACCTCTCACAAAATCTCCCATAAGAATTTTATGAATGCAGCAGATTTGGCTCTACCATGCAGAACATGGCTAGGTTTGGGAAATGTCACTATTTGATAAGGGGATTTGGTAACTTATTTTACCTCCTCCCCAAGTCCTCCATACAAGTTGCTATTTTCACAAATAACCATGTTGTTTTCTGCTGTAATGCCCTGGAAATCCTTGCCTATACAGAGACATATCAAGATTTTTAAACTGTTCATTGATCTTGTCCTTGTCTTTGTAGATGAAACTGAGTATGAGTACAGTGGGAGTGAAGAAGAGGAGGAGGAAGTGCCTGAACAGGAAGGAGAGCCAAGGTAATGACTATGACACTGTTCATTATCCTGCTTTGTGAAGAGATTAACCTTCATGCTGATCTCAGGATTTCTAAGTCTCCTGGGTAGTAGAAAGGAATCTAAATTTTGAAAGTGCCTTACTATCTCCCATTCTTCTCTTTTCTATGCCAGATTTCTGTAAACAGCTCCTTACCCCCTTCCTCTTATCTTTTGTTTTTATTTTTGTTTTTAAAACCAAAATTGCATGTGTGGGACTCTGTGGGGCTGGCCAGAGGGTGTTGCCTCTGGCAATCATAGCACCAGAAGGCATGAATGCTAAAGGTCTTGTACTAGAAGGTAAAGTCCTGACCACAAAGAATTCTCCTGCTTGTGGGCCACCAGAGCCTCCATTGAAAAACTCTGTAGTCTTTCCCAAAGCATTTATTTTATTTTTTTCTGTTTTTGCTCTTCCCATAAATGTGTTTACTAGCATTTGATTTCCTTTGTTGGTTTGTGTTCTCTATTGATATATTTTATGGGCTGCAGTTTGGTTTTTCTTTGACTTCCAAGGTGCAGTGAAGCAGAGATTGAGGAGTTGAAATTAAGAGGGAAGAGCCTCCTGATAATATTAATCAGAGAGTAAAAGATTATTAGATTTTAGTAATGGGTTTACCTGACAGTCATTCATCTTGCTGTTACCAATGACTAAGTAATGGAACAAAAGAAGGATAGAGGGGCAGGTTAAAAGACCTGTGGGGGTCATGTGCTGGAGAATGGGAGTTTGAAGGGAGAGAAGAGAATTCATTGAAGAAATCCCAAATGAGTTTTTCTTCTAATAAAGGAGAAGATTTAAGTTAATCTTAAATAAAATTTTAGAGTACTTTGAACTTTTTTCACAAGCAGTGTAATTGCTTTTGGATAAGGGAATGTTGTAATGATAGAGACAATTTAAAGGGATATGTTTGTCAGTCTATTTTGGGTCATATAGAAGTGGGGAAGCCAGGAATGATGCTGGCTAATCTACCTGTGCAGTGGCTAATTCATGAGACCTACTTGGGATCAGCTGATAACCCTGACTTTAATGAAAGTGGAAGGGAATACATGGCAGGACTTGGTTGTTGACCAGATGGAGATGAAGGAATGGCAAGTACTGAAGAGTGCTCTGATATTTCTGTGCTGTGATGCAAAAAAAGGGGGCTAAAAAGGGACCAGTGAAGTAAAAAGAGGTGATTTTAGCCTTTCATTTAACATAGTTTGAATTGGTGTGAGAATCTCAAGTAGAAATGCCTTGTCAAGCAGCATCTATAAAAGAATTTTAAAATGTTAATAAACGATAAAGGAAGATAGGGGGCCACTGAATTGTAGACATAGTACCTCTGGTGGATATGTTGTTTGGACTTGTGGATTCAGTAAGGGACCCCATAAAAAGAACGAAAGTTGAAGGGGAAATAGGATGCTGGCACTGCTACCTTCCTCACAAATCATGGAGATGTACACATAACCCTGAAAGGTATTCTTCCTCTTGCAGTTCCATCGTCAATGTGCCTGGTGAGTCTACTCTGCGTCGGGATTTCCTGAGACTGCAGCAGGAAAACAAGGAACGTTCTGAGGCTCTGCGGAGACAGCAGCTACTGCAGGAGCAACAGCTCCGGGAGCAGGAAGAGTACAAGAGACAACTGCTGGCAGAGAGGCAGAAACGGATTGAGCAGCAGAAAGAACAGAGGCGGCGACTAGAAGAGGTAAAAAAGGAAAAGGTCTAGTTTGACATTTTCTCATTCTTACTCACTTGGTAGACAGATGCCCCAAGGAATATTGTCTATAGCCCATTGAGGTAATATCCCCTGGTGTGGGTGTTAAAAGAACTTTTGACAGAAAGCTTGTGCTTTGGACTCTCTGGCCTTCACATGCTTTGAGGCCCTAGAAATCCTTTTCTTCCTTGTAATAGTATTGAGGACCTGCCCAACTCATTGGCATATTATGAGATGCACAGCTCCAGTGGCCCAAGGACCAGTTGTGTGGAGTGTTTCCATTGTGGTCAAGTTGTCTTGCGCAGACTTGACCTGATTTCTTTTCTACTCTTGGCCTCTGGTCCCAGTTTATATGGACATATTCTTCTGAAACTTCAGAGTTTTTCATATGAAAAACATATTTCTCTAAATGCCTATTATTAGTATGTATATTTAGGCATATTTAAGAGGAAGGGACATAGAAAGCAGTAGTTATGCCCTGTGTGTGGGAAGTACATTTTGTACCATCTGCTCATTTAGCATATTAATATTGTCGATATTGGTAATGTGGTTAACAGCTTTTTCATTTTTAATTTATGGAAATATGTTATTTCCCTTGGGGGGGTTGAAAGAGTCTTTTGATTTTTCTCTCTTGACTGCCTTTTGTTGTATATTTCACAGCACCAAATTTCTCATTCATAATCATTTCTGTTTCCATTTAATTCAAACATCTCACAGTTTTACCTTTACCTTTCTCTTCTAGAAGAACCACCAACAATAACAGGAAAGCCCTATATTGATATTTCTCAGTAGAATTCAGTTTAATAATAACACATGCTGTTACCCAAGTTATTTAAGAGTACATTTTGACAAGGAGTTTTTGTTTCATTCTGTGTATTTGTAGACTGGATTCTGAAGACCCTTTATAATTTGTCCAGTGCTTAGAAAAACAATGTGTGTCTAAATAAGGGAGCCCGGAATGATTTAGACAGGGGTTTTAGAAGAAAACTTAGGAAGTACCTTCCCTTGTAGTAGTGGCAATTTGGTGCTTATGTGGCTTTTTTTTTTAAGTTTATATATAAATCTATAATATATTTGATAAGACTGTTCTTGGTGTTCTTTGAGCAGAATAGAAACTCTGTATGGATTTAGGGATTTGTTGGAGGTTCCATATTGACTATTTGTATTCATGATAGATCATGAGGCTCTGGCTATTTCTAGTTTGTTTTTTGGTTTCTCCACTGTCCTTTCTGATCTTGGGCTAGGCTTTCCATAAGCAAGTGGCACAAGTTATTTGGTAGTCTATAACTTGAAGTACTAAGGACCGTATCAGTTAGACCTTGTGCTTTAGGATTTGATTGTATTTCATCTTTGAATGAATTCTTGAGTCTTTCATTACTTTAAATGATGGTTACAATTGCAAGAGTTTGTCTTGGATGTCATGTGCTTGGTGTGAGGTTAGATTTAATTTAAAAATAATACACAGGCTGAGGGTGTAACTCAGTGGAAGAATATGCACTTAGCATGTGTGAGGTACTGGATTTAGTCCCCAGTTACCCCTAAAAAAGGTAATGCATTCCTCTTATAAAGGTAATTTAGTGCAGAGAGAAAAAGATAGGTATGATACCATCTTACCTTCAAGGAACTTAAAGTCTTTAAAAGTTTCACATGAAACTAAGAAGAAAAAGTCTTTCAGAACCTTTTAGTTGATAACCGAGATGTTTAAAAATGTAGCCTGTTTTTAAGATGTTGTTTGCTTGCTTTTCCTGCTTTTCGATAGTATATTTCACATTAAACTTGCAATGAATTTTAATTATTAAAATTAATTAGGTGAATTGTATAATTATATTTACTCTGAAAAGCAATTGTACAAAAATGTAAACTGAGAAATCCAGCTGAAATGATTGAAAAAATTAGATAAACACCAGGGACAGCAAGAAGAAAGGAGACCAACTTGTGGACATTAGATAATGCACATAACAGAGGTTAATTCTTACTGTGTATCCTGGAGAGTCAGAACTGCAAGGTAGTAGATGGGCTAAACACAAGAAGAGAGTGCAGGGGTGAGAGAGAACAGTTAGACTTGCCTGCTGTATGCATGTAGTTACTGTTCCTCCTCAGCAGGAGCAGATGTATTCTACCCGGGAACACGAACAACAGAGACACCATTCACACGGAGAAATTAGGCACAACTGAGTATGCATAGAGATGTACAGTAAACAAATGCATTTAATGAAAGCAGAGATACTACTTGATGTGACTACAAGCATGCTCACCTCACTCAGCTCCCCAGGCAACCATGTTTTGCAAATGTCACCTCTTTTTCTTATACCCTTGTCTCAACACTGATAGACTATTGGGTGGATTCCCAGAATATTGCGAATATTCCACTTACAACATAACTGAACAGTGGAAAGGAAATAAGGCTCCAGTGAAATGATCGTAGTTTCCAGGTATTTGTGAGTCTATAGAGCCTGTACAACTGCTTTATTGTGTGTTTTAAGTGAAAGTGCACAACAAAGATTATAGACACTGAGGAATGTCTTTTTGTTTTGTTTTGGTGATACTGGGGTTTGAACTCAGAGCTTCACTCTTGCTAGCTAGGTGCTCTACTGCTTAAGCCAGGCTCCCAGCCTTAGTAATGTCTTTAACACAAAAGATTTCAAAGTGTGAAGGAGGCTGAATGTAGTAGAAATACATGTGCTCAAGTATGAAAATGAAAAAATGAGATCTGTTGAAACTATTCCAGAAATGGGGGTAGGGAGGGATGAAGGAGAATGATGGACTTCTGTAAATGCCACAATGTACCCCTAGTAAAACAATAAAAAAATTAAATTTAAAAAAAGATTTCAAAGCAAATAAAAAGGGGATTTCAGAGAGCTTAGTGGTAGAGTGCTTGCATAGCATGTGTAAGGACCTGGGTCTAATCTCCAGCATCATAAAAGAAAAGGAACCTGAAGGAAACAGAGACAATGTAGGGAACAGAGAAACATCTCACACACAACACATGCACTCACACAAAATATCCTTAGAAAGAAAAGAGAGAAGATATATTCATGGAGTAAAGATTATTAAAAAATAAGGTAGAATTCTTAAAATTTTTTTAAACTAAAAACTCTCAGGGTGTGGAGAGGGAAAAGATAAATTGATGGGTAATAGAACAAACAAACAAAAACATAAATCCAAGAGGCCCAACTTCCATTTAGATGTTCTGGGAAGTTGAATATGATAGGGAGAAAGTACAGGAAATAATTCAAGACGAATAAATACAAGTTTCTGAGTTGAAAGATTGATTGAATGCAGAACACACAAATGAAGAAATATTCACCTGAAGGCACATAAAATTCCATCTTGAAATTTTAGTATATGGAGGATGAAGAGAGAATCCTAAAAGCTGCAGTGGGGAGGGAAGTAAGGAGATGAGTATAGAATGGGTCCTGTACTAAGTATCAAGAATCAGAATGGTCTCAGATGGTCCAGGCAGGAAGTATCAGAAACTAAAAGGTGACACAGTATCTCTGCAACTCTGGGGGGGTAATATTATTCATTAGTCCAAATTGTCTGTGTAGCATGAAAATAAAGATTTTGAAGCATGCAAAATTTCCAAAGCATTTTACTTCTTTTGCATTCTTCCCCATGAAGCTGCTGGAGGATATGTTCCAGCAAATTAAGAAAGAAAATCTCAAGGGTTCCAGGAAATGGGAATCTAGCCAGGAGTGTCCAAAAGGATTCTGAGGAAGTTGATGGACAGAAATATATAATTATTGGAGAATGTGAGTTAGATTGACTTATTAAGAGTATTGATCTTCACGAATAAAGAAAGAATAACTGATTTATTTAGCCCTATTGAAAGGAGGTTCATAGTAGTACAAGACACTGTATAATTTTGTTATAGTCTCAAGAAGGCCAGTCAAATAAATCAAAAAAGAAATAATTTATAAACCTTTGAAAAACTTAAAAGAAAGTTACTCATACATAATTTAGTCATGCAGATGTTTTCATTTAGCCAGAAATTGTTACTACTAGATTGGGAACATGCAAGATGGTATAGTATAACGCAGTGGATATTCTTTGTGAGACGTCAATAGATGGTATCCAAGATACAAAGTGATTTAAAAATAGTTCCATAAGCATATTATTTAGAAAGAAGAATAGAAATACTGTGTGAAAAATTAAAAGCCTTGAAAATGCTCATCCGTTGGAGGTAAGAAGCAAAAGGGGAATGAAACCGCTTGTTTGTGACATCAAGCCTTTCTTTGAAGGGTCTTGGATCATATAGTCTTATTGGTAAAACAAAAAAATGGAGCATGTATATCTGACAGAGATGTATCTCCTTATGAACTGTTGAACATATGGCACATGAAAATAGCAATTATAAAAGAATGAGCTAAAAAATCTTAGTTTTGTTCCTATACTCTAGTGGATTGTCTTGGTCCCTTTTAGAGACTACTAATAATGTAGAGACAGACCATCTCACTCTTCACCTCCTCCTTGTTGCTCTTTTTATCTAACTGCATGGGGTGGTAAGCAAGGAAGGGTAAATCCCATATCTTTTTAAAGGGAGTGATTCTTTGACCACCCTTAGGAGAAAACGTTTTTAAAATGTTCCCACCTTAAACATCAACTGTTGACTTCTTCCAAAGATTATGTCTTGCACCCCCCATGTCATGATGGTTTCTAGCACAGCACGCATCCTCCTCAACATACTCACAGAGGGGGAGTGTCTTGTGCCAGCAAAGCACAATGAGGATCTGACCTTATTCCTGGACTCAGCTTCAGTGCTCCTCCTAGGATTCACCGTGCATATAAATGCTTCCAAAGAACCCTTTTAACCTACCCTAACTACTTTATGTATATTAACACTATAAAATTCAGTATGTTTGAAAATGGTTTGTCTATAATATAGACTCTTTGCATCTTCTGACCTGATCACTTAAATCTGGTTGACTTGGAACCTAAATTCTCTGATGCTCATTTAAATTGTAAGGCTACAGACACTTGAACATTTGTTGCCTCTCCCCTATTTTTATATTACTGCCAAGGAAGTTGTTTATTGTTTACATTTCCATTTGGGTGGCTCCCTGACTACCTTTGCTGTGATTTGAGGGATTTTTGTTTCATTCGAAGGTGGGGACCTCTTACCCGGCTTGCCAGGTATTGCTAGACCAGCAGCATATCCTATAGTTCCCTTAGGAGCCTGCAAGCATTGACTAGTCCTCAGTCACAAGGCAGGAGAGCAGGGGCAATGCTCACTCCTCAGGCAGCTTCCCCGCCCCCATGGAGTGCTCAAGAGATTATTCTTAGCATTTCAGCTTTGCCATTACCAAAAGCCTTTTTGGTTTTAGTTTATTTGTAATGTATTTTATTCAACCAAAAAGTTCAAAAGATGTGTTTCCTTGGAAAGTGTGCCTAGCCAGGAATCTAATGGAATTGAATAATTAAAGCAAGGAAGTTTACGTTTCCCAGTTGGCAAAGTATAATGATTTTTATTACCAAAGTTAGAAAAAAATGGTTACGTTATTAGCTACTGTATGCTTATTGTAAATGATTTCCTGGTAAGTTCTTTTTGTTTCTTTATAGAAAAATTAAAAGCCAGAAAATATAAAATACTTTGAAGGTGAAAGGCACCAGAAACACAATTTGGATGTGACCCATCAGTTTCTATTCTCAAGTTTCTGTATTAGGCTCTTTGTGGAGTCCTGGAGTAGGAGGAAGTAGTTTTGTTTGTTTCCTTTCTTCCTTTCTTTCTTTTTTTTTTTTTATAGCTAATGTGGTAATATCAGTTTTCTGTGTGTGAGAAAGTTGATAGCTTTGTATCCTCTAAAGCAGCTGCTATCCAGTGCAGGAGTCAACTAGCCACATGTGGCAATTTAAAGTTGACTTAACTGCAAACTCAGTTCTCTGTTCATACTAGCTCAGTAGCAACATGTGACTGTTGGAACATTCTCATCATCTCAAAGACTTCAGTTGGACAGTGCTGGTCAAGAGTTTAGCACCAGTCTTCATGGGGAAAATTGATCAATTTTAGACTCCATACTATGTAAGTGCTTTCCTGGCAAGTGCCCTATGGCTATACAAAACAAGCCGTTAATTAAAATGCTGGTGTGTCTGTTGTTCAGTAATGTACATTACCTTCTTTTCTTTGGCCTATTTCTATCTTCCTTCTTTCTTTCTTTCTTTCTTTCTCTTAAGTCTTTTTTTAATTCTGACTTAAGAGTCCTCAATGCTGTTAATGACAACCCAAAATAAAGAATTTTCTGTCCCCTGTTTGCTGTGGTTATAATGAATAGTGTGAATGATTGTTAACTAAAGAAACATTGCACCATTGACTAGTATTTATGTAGAAACTGTTGCATACAGGGCTGAAGGAAGGTATGGAAATAATTGGTCAGTAGAGATGGGGTCCGTGAGCATCTGTTTCATTAGCATCTGTCCATAACTGGTTGGCAAACTATCATGAGAGCCCTAGCTGGAAGATCCTTCGTAATTACAGATTTTTTACTTGTGCAGCAACAAAGAAGAGAGCGTGAAGCTAGAAGGCAGCAAGAACGTGAACAGCGAAGGAGAGAACAAGAAGAAAAGCGGCGTATAGAGGAACTGGAGAGAAGGCGTAAAGAAGAAGAAGAGAGGAGACGGGCAGAAGAAGAAAAAAGGAGAGTGGAAAGAGAACAGGTTAGTTCAAAGAATGTTCAACCATTCATCTGTGAAGTTTGTCTCATTATAAAGCTGAGGGATTTGGGGCAAAAAGTACATATGCATGTGTACATATGCATATACACATTCAGAAATTTAGACATTTATAAAAGGTGAAACACTGGAAGTACACTAATAACTTGAGTTTCTTGTTTTAAAAAAGGAATCTGTAGATCATTGTATTTTATAAACTTTGAAACCAGCCACATAGTCTCCAAATAGTATGATACCTGCCACTTTTTTTTTTTTTTAGGAAAGAGAATAAAAGCCAACTGTAAGAAATTTCTAATGAGAAATGTTGGAAATGGCTAAATTTGAAGTGGCCATTTTATGAATGTGAATATTCATTCACATTGTATATTGTGGCCATTGTAATAGATTTGCATATAATTCTATACATACATTTGTAGCATTAAAGAAACTAATACATTGCTGTATGGTTCAGCCAAAAAAGATCAGATTTTAGTAATAATTATTGCATTTACTAATGTCAGGTATAGTTTTATTGATAGATTTACCTTGTCTCCTGAACCACCTGTGCAAATAAAATGAACTATCCCCAGTGTCTTAGATTTTCCTATTTTTAAGTTGATTACTCTTTGTTTTGAGCTTTGAATAAAGAAGAAAATGGTATAAATGGGGACCAACTTAAATAATACCTTAAATTCACATTTAAAATGTTAACTTCCAAATGTGACTCTTTGGCTACTCTCCTTGATAATACTAATCATGTTTTTCTGAGACTTGGATCTGATGCTCACCAGTGTTTTCCTAGAACTTCAGTGGTATAATTTATCTCTTACTTTATTGACATTATTGACCAGCTAATTGTAGTGTGCTTGCTTTTTAGTTTATTTATTTTTAATATTCTAATCACATTTATACTGGGAGACTGCAAATTAGAGAAAATACTAGCCTTTAAGAAATCACGTAGCAGTACTTCTCACGATTTGATTGTGTCAGTAGTACTTCATGTTCTAGTGGCAGTCATTACAGTTTTGTGAATAGCAAGTATTCTGTACCTCTTTTAAAAAGATTAAAATCATTTTTATGCCACTTTTTCTTATTCTATCACAAAATAATTCCCTGTGTTAATGCTGTAGGACACTTTTGATTCCCGCTTAAGTATATGTATTTGTATATATGTATCATTCTGTATGTTCATTGTATATCAGGACCTTTGAGGTTGGATAGGATGTCATTTTTTTTTCCTGTTGTCCCCATGGATTAAAGGCAGACAACAAATGAGAAAACTAGCTTAATCTTTGAAGTTAGGATTTAATTCTGATTTGTTCAAAGAAGAAGTAAGTTGGGAGTCAGGTTCTTTTTCTTAGTAATTGGGTAAGGTTACTCGTGTATCACAGTTAATTGGCATAGCATAATCATGGAGGGTCAGGTGTAAATGAAATTACCTTGTGGGTGAGCATCCCTCCAGATTGACTTTCCTGACTCAATTTTATTTGTAAGATAAGATTTCCAAGGACATTTATATGCATGATTTCTCCATTATCCAATGTTCTCCTGCCCAGAATAATAGGTTAACTAAAATTTATGTTCAGCTCATCTCTATGGCTAATTTTTTAAAGGTGTGTGCCATGAAATAAGGGGATGGTCAGTAGCACACACTGTTAAAATATAACCTGAAGTTTGGGATAAAATTTCTCCATATGTCCTTTAGTTTGCACTCCTTCTAGGGCAACTAGTTAGCTTTTTCCCTGTGAAAAAGGAAGGAAACTTACTCTGTTTGTAAAATGTTTGTTACTCTTCAAAGTTATTTCATATCTATCTCATGTTTTTGAGCCTCATACAAACACCCTATGAGTTCAGATGCTCATTTTTCAAATGAAGAGACAGAAAATGGGAGGTTGAAAGTGTATAATAGGTCAGAAAGCTCCTCCTGGATGGAACTGGGCTCAAGATCTTATCTCTGTCTAAATAATATGCGTGCACCTTCAAGGTAGGATCTTTACTTCTTTGTGTAACATTTTGGATGTGTTTACGTGTTCTTATTGATACGAAGGTTTCTCTTCTCTTTGAAAAAAATCCACCCTCATTCTCACTCCTCCTCTCTGCATATGTGCCTGTGTGTGTACACACACACACACACACACACACACACACACACACACGCTTATCATGAAGACTCTGGGCTTATTTATTTGCAGGGAGTTGGTCAAGTCTGCTGTTTCTAGACCATGGCTTTTAGAATGTAGACATTCCAGGTACCTTCTGAATCATCAAAGTATAAATCGTGTTTGTTTTATACGGATTTTGGTTTTAGGTTTCAAAAATTGGTGATCTGTGTGCTTGCTATAAATAATGACTAATAAGTAGATATGTACTAATTAAACTCTTAATTTTTCTGCAGTCTCATCTGTAAGAGGCAGTATCATCCTTTAAAATTCTGAATTGATTATGACAGCAGTGCCTTAACAGAAATACTTTATTCAGACACCTTCATGTATATCATCAGAATGCATTGGATTCTGGGTCTTACTGGCCAGTTTGAAGTTCTTGGAAAAATCATTAGCAATATATTGATTTTAGATTAGGTGTTCACCACTAAGTGAATTTTTGGTAAAGGTGATTGGAGCAGTGACTCTTGGTGCTTCACACAGGTTGTTCTTGTGCTTTCTTTTTGGATAAATTGATTGCTGGGTAATTTCTGTGTGTGACAGGAGTATATCAGGCGACAACTAGAAGAGGAGCAGCGGCACTTGGAAATTCTTCAGCAGCAGCTGCTCCAGGAGCAGGCCATGTTACTGGTAACGCCCCGCCTCTGTCCTCTTCCCTAGCATTAGGGCTTGTTTGTCCCTCCCTCAAGTTTGCAAGTTTTGGTGATCACTAGACCTTGTTAGTTTTGCTGTGGGCGGCCAGGCTGAAATGGAGACATCCTCTATGACCGCACTGTTTGGGTATAGTGTAAGGTTGTTTTTATGTATTAATTTACTTCCCAATAGCAAATAACTGTTCTCATTTGGTAGATAGGCAAGATTTTGAACAGAACTTGGCATTCAGTGAACACACTAGAGTGCTAAGCCTTAGGCAATAGGTTCAAAGCTTGTGCTGTAGGATTTTTACCAAGTATATGCACCACTGAATCTGACATTCAATGAAATTCTCTTTTACTTTGTCCAAGATGTTATAAGTTAGCAAGAGCTGTCAGATTTTCCCACAGGTAATATGCTATTTAAAATTCAAGTCATTTTGCTTTGCTATCAAAGAAGGAGAAAAAAAAAGTGTCTTTTTTTTTTTTTTAAAAAAGTCAATAATGAATCCAAAGAAGAGGCGAGCTCTCCAGTGTCCCATAGATTTAGTGTTATCCTCTCCCTCTCCAAGGAGTGCCGATGGCGGGAGATGGAGGAGCACCGGCAGGCAGAAAGGCTCCAGAGGCAGTTGCAACAAGAACAAGCATATCTCCTATCTCTACAGCATGATCACAGGAGGCCGCACCCGCAGCAGCAGCCACCACTGCAGCAGGAAAGGAGCAAGCCCAGCTATCACACTCCGGAGCCCAAACCCCATTATGAGCCAGCTGACAGAGCTCGTGAGGTATCTTCTTTCCTTCATTACTTTGACATTGGTCCTGTGTTGGTTATGCTCTGGAAAGTAATCTAGTAACTGTACAGACCTGTACAATATTAATGCCAGGATGTGGGTTAGAGTTTAGCTCGTGGCTCACCTTTGTTTTCTCATGAGTAGAGGACTTGCCCAAGGTCTCCTGTCTAGGTAGTCTCCTGTCTAGGTAGTGGTTTTTTCTATGAACTACCAGGGTGCCTCAGTTAACAAATCTCAGAAGAATTGGAAGCTAAACTAAACAAACAGGTTGTAAGGCAGTGTAGTTCTCTAAAATGTGAATGAGAGGAATGGTGGTCTGGTCCAAAACTAGCATGAGGATGAAGGGTGTCTTTAGCCCAATTTGTTCCTGAATCACTTGGTGCATTTGGGCTAACCAGAGCCTCAGAACAGGATGTGGCAAAGTATCCTCCTGTTCTGTAACCTGGGCAGGTGGGGCTGATGTACCCTAGAAGTGTTGAGTCCTGGCCTGTAGGTGGCACCCTTCCACTGTGCCTGCCCGCACAGGGAGCAGATTCTGAGAACAAGTATTCTGCTTGTTCTGAAAAGACTGTTTTTGGAGGAATGGTGTGTGTTTTAGATTCCTGATGGTAGTCTTTTAATCTGTAGGTTTAGTTGGCTGTGAAAGATTTTTTTTTTCTAGTTTATTATTGCATACAGTCCTAACATGCTAAGAATAGCGATCTTAAGAGACTGTCTTGCTCAGTTTTTATCTTCATAAGTATTTCATTTTTCCTGACCTAAATCCTAGACCTGCTTTGTCTGTCTCTTTTCCCCCTAGCAGCTTCTCTATTTTTCTCATAGCTAAAGAAAATAGAAAACTTCTCCTTAGAGTCCTACTTTCAGACTTTCTTTGGCATGTTTGCTTTTCCCCTACTAACATGGAGTTATGTCTTCTAATTCTCTGATGCAGGTGGAAGATAGATTTAGGAAAACTAACCACAGCTCCCCTGAAGCCCAGTCTAAGCAGACAGGCAGAGTATTGGAGCCACCAGTGCCTTCCCGATCAGAGTCTTTTTCCAATGGCAACTCCGAGTCTGTGCATCCTGCCCTTCAGAGACCAGCGGAGCCACAGGTAGTGACTGCCAGCTTTGCTGCAGTGGAGAAGCCTTGCTGTATGGCTTGCTGACCACATTTAGCTTGTTATCACATTAAAAAGAGAAGAGATAAGCAGGAGTAGCTTTAGACTAAAAGAGGACAGTTGGTAGGGAAAGAATCTTTCTCACACAAGGGTTTTGGTTAAACACACTAAAGTTATCTAGAGTCAGTGGTTTCTTCTAACTTTTTGACTTTCCTAATTGAGATGTGAAGTGCCTTCTTCTTGTGAAACAAATGTGTTTTCACTTAACTTTTAGAGGATTCATTCTATAAGCACATAGAAGAGAGCCAGAGCCTTTCCTTCAGTAAGTGCTTTCCCTGTGATCTCTGTTCTTGGCCAGTCCCTTGAGTGGACCTTAGACAGCTAAAGATGCCCCTGAAAGTTTGCTCAGAATTTTTTGATGTATGAATTTGCATATTTTTTTTCTGGGAAAGGGCCTTTTATCAGATGTGCAAAACAGTTGATAATGTAGTGGGTTAGGTATAGATTTCCCTGGAGGAGGTAGGGCAAAGGTCATGACTTGTCCTTGGGTCCAGGCATTCAGCCTTATTTGAGTGAGGGAGTGCTGTGGGATAAAATAGAAGCTGCTGTGCTGCCTGGAAAAGAGAGCAAAGACTTCCCAGGCCAGAGATCTCAGAGAACCCCAAACACTGATTCTTGTTCTCGCTCCCCAAAAACAGTTAAGCAAGTTTTTCCTTGCTGCTATGTAATCCAGCCTAGGTGTACTTGTCACTGGTGATGGTGTATGTAGGGGACAAAGTTACTGTTCTTGAAACAGGTAGCAGCAGTGTTCTGAAAAACACATTCACATGAGAATTCGAGTGTGTTTTACAGTAACTGATCCCTTTGGATGATGGGGAACTGGAGCAAGGAGAAGTCAACAAAAAAAAGAAAGAAGAGCAAGACTTGACAGTTGTGCTGACACATACCTGTGATTCCAGTATTTGGGTGGCTGAGACAGGAGGATTGTTAGTTCTAGGCCAGTCTTCGATAAACAGCAAGACACTGACTCAAAAATCCAAGGACTGCTGTGTGAAGTGGCTCATGCTTGTAACCCTAGCTGCTTGGGAGGCAGAGATTGGGAGGATCTCTGTTCAAGGCCAGCATGGGTAAAAAGTTTGAGAGAGACTACCTCAGCAAATAAAAACTGGGCATGAAGGCATGAGCCTGTCATTGCAGCTAGGCAGAAGCATAATAGAAGGATATTGATCTATGCAGGCCCAGGCATAAATTTGAGACCCTATTTAAAAAATAACTAAAGAAAATGGACTGGGGTTGTAGCTCATATTGAATTCAGGGCCCTGAATTCAAACCCCAGTATTGACCCCCCCCCCCCAAAAAAAAAGGTGGGAGGAGGAAAAAGAGTGGAAGGAAGAGCAGGACTAAAGGAAAGGTGTGTGGATGAGGGGGATTTTCTTGGGATCAGCAGCTAGTGGGCCCCATAGGAGCTGGCTTGCCAGCAGCAAAATAGCTACAGAGAGTAGGAAGAAGGAAAGCAGAGTAGAGACCAACAGAGTAATTAGGGTAGATGATACTTGTTCTTTAACATCTTTGTCCAGGTCTCCAGTACAAATATATTTGAAGAATACAGGATAAAATCATTTGTTCTGGAGGGTAAACTTAACACAAATGGAAAATCTTTATCTGGTCACTAATACTAGATTATAGGAGTTATAGTCTTATTTTTATTTCATGATTAATTAATATATTTCCTGGAAATAGTCTACCCATCTATGTTGAAGTTGCTTTTAATTAAAACATATGCCTTTGAAGCATTCTTTGGGAGAAACTTTGCTCACATGGGACTTTTATTTTAAATCCCATTTCAGGTAATATTTTCTTTTGTATGATTTTACTCTGAAAATCTTATCTCTTAATGATAGATTATACTTATAGCTCAGATTATTTGAATCTCTCCTATAAATCATAGAAATCAGTTACCTGGGATTAATTCTACATCTTACATCTGGACAGGTGAAACAAATTGTTACTTGTTATTTTCAGATTTCATTAAATGCATTGATACAATAGATATGTAGCTAGAATGATGAAAATTTTAATGTTGAACAAGTATTTTAAAATAGTTAGATACAGTTAAATGAAAATATTTTATAGATTATCTCTGAGGTTGTTTTTCCAATTTAAAAGCAACCAAATAAACTAAGAAGACAAAAAAATTGACATACGTCCTTGAGCTGTTAAATAAGAGGAATATTTTAGCAGCATTCAATTTAGAGATTCTATAGTAATTTTAAAGGGAAAAATCACAATTATTTTTTCATAAATATTATGAAGGTGTATAAATACAGCTAGATTGAGTATTTTGAGATTTGGAAGAAATAAGAATTGTTAGTATTTTTGCAAAGTTGGCTGTTTGTAAGTTATACTATTACAGTTCGCCAAAACGTGAGGGTTTGTGTTTGCATGTTAAATGTATCCTGCTGTTGCTTGGTCTGAGCGCTCACACTGGCAGGTCATGTGAGAGTGGTAGTTTTGCCTGTTTGGCAGTGTGTTTAGATCTTACGATTTTTCTATCTTTCTTAGCTTCCACCTGGATGTGCATGTAGCATATCATCCCCTTTCAGTAGGTCTATAAATCACATTTACTGCTATATGCAATGTTTGCCTGGATGTTAGGAGTTTTCCTAATGCACATTTGCTCTTTTCTGCATGCTGTGCTCCCTCAACCATCACTTTCCTCAAAAGTGTGACTGATTTGCTGCTCCACTTACCTAATACTGAACCACCCTGGTTTGCATTTGACCAGAAAAGCCAGTTTTATGCAGAACGCATTGAATGTTTTGTGTTTTGTTTTCTTGTAAGGTACAGTGGTCCCACCTGGCATCTCTCAAGAACAATGTTTCCCCTGTCTCGCGATCCCATTCCTTCAGTGACCCTTCTCCTCCCAAATTTGCACACCATCATCTTCGTTCTCAGGACCCATGTCCACCTTCCCGCAGTGAGGGGCTCAGTCAGAGCTCTGACTCTAAGTCGGAGGTACCCGACCCTACCCAAAAGGCATGGTCTAGATCAGACAGTGACGAGGTGCCTCCAAGGGTAAGGAGCAGAAAGACAGATGTGTGCTGCTTTTTCTTTTTTTGTTATTTTTTAAAATAATTATTTTGATTATGGGTATGGTGACATCACCAGAGTTAAAGGGGCAGTGAAATTTCAAAGGAACTTTTTACAGTGGGGAAAAAGTTCCATAGTTAGGCAGTTACATTAAGGCAGTTGTCAGTTAGCTCTTTACTGTTGTTAATTCTGCACTTAAACATAAGATAGCAAAATGATCTAAGGGAAAATCTATAAAGAATGTATCTAAAACCAATGGAATCATAATTCATAAGTTAATATGGAAGTTATACATTATTTTAGAACTTTAACCAGTATCAAAAATTTCAGAAAGTTCTTATAAGGAAAATTTTAACTTGAAAGTTTCAAAGAAAATGATTTTATTTCTTTTAAAATTGATTTTTTTTGTATTTACCTAATGGTAAAATAAAATAAAAGGACACATTTTAGTGTATTTTTCCTTCACATGGAATTTGCTTCCTCTGAATATTTTCTTGCTTCCTGCTAGTCTTTTGCTTCCTGCTAATCCATTTGTAGACCATTGTTTGGCTTCTTTGAGCTTATTTTCCTGACTCTCACATTATCTCAGCAAAGTGCTGTTGTATGTCCCCTGCCACCAGCTTTGGTCCAAACATTTAAATATTATGGGAGCACAGAAAGACTTTTTGAATGCCTTTGACTAAATTCCAATCTCCCCCCATCTTTGTATCACTTGAGGATCAAGGAAGGATTGGGATGGGGTGGGTTGTTGATAGGAAGACCAATATTAAGATGACTGTTTTAGAAATATGCTTTGGTAAGGAGATCTTTGTGTCCTCCTCACATTTTCAATAATTTTAATTGCTGTGTTTTCTACTTAAAGGTACCTGTGAGAACAACATCTCGTTCCCCTGTTCTGTCCCGTCGGGATTCCCCACTGCAAGGCAGTGGACAGCAAAATAGCCAAGCAGGACAGAGAAATTCCACCAGGTAAAAGAAGAGTGAAAGTTAGGGATAGGTGTGTTGTGCAGTCTCCTAGAGTCTTCTCTTATCTCCCACACTGAAGTGCTGAGTCAAAGAGATTCAGTTTCTATACATGCACATGCATACATGTATATACATAAGAAGGTCAAAAAACCCATTAATAGGTGTGGTAGCTCACACCTGTAATCATAGCTACTCAGGAGGTAGACATTGGGAGTTTTGTAGTTCCAGACCACCCTAAGCAAAGAGTTCTCAAGACCCCACCTCAACCAGTGTCTGGGCACAGTGGCACACACCTGTCATCGTAGCTATGCAGGGAAGCACAAATAGGATAAAGTATAGGTTGGTCTGGGCATAAAAGTAAGACCCTATTTAAAAAATAATGAATGCATAAAGGAATGACAGCATGGTTCATGTGGTAGACTGCCTATCTGACAAGCATAAGGCCCTGAATTCAAATCCCAGTTCCACCAAAAAAGGTAATATGAATAACATCAAGTTGATCTGGAGTAATAAGATGTTTTGAATCTGGGTGTGTATTATAGTAACTTGGAAATGAAAACTACCTGTCTCTGTAAGAGTCAGTGGTTGGGACCCGGTAAGGAAAAGGGAGAGGACCTGAGAGACTTGTAATCCCAGGGAGCTTTCTATCTAAACAGGAAGTTGTAAGACTTTTGTAATAGTATAAAGTCACAGACAAATTACTAAAGAACACCAGTTGCAGTAAACTATGAATTGGCCAATTAATATCATTCTCAAGGTCTAAACAGTGCCATCCAGTGTGGCAGCTGTTGCCACATGAGACTTGTTAAATTTGAATTTAACTTAAAGTGAAGTAAGATTAACTTTATTTAGTTGCATCACAATGTTTCAAGTATTCTATAGCCACATACAGCCAGTAGCTACAATATTAGCTTGGAAGTAGAACATTTTTCATCATTGTAGAAAGTTCTGTTTGGCAGCACTGTCTTAGGGAAGAAGAGATTCTTAGGTTGAATGTTTTGTAACTTGAGCACCCCCAAACTTCTCTGGGTGGCCTTCTGCACATGCACAACATTGGTGTAAGTTGAAGTGGTCAGATGGATGATAACCCAGAAACAATAAAGAGTCTCTTAGCACTAATGACCAGGGAATACTGTGGTGTTCTCCTGTGATTACGTCTATGTCATGAATTTTCACCCAGCAAGTGTGTGCTGTGAGTATGTCCATGGCAGGAAATCCATCCCAGCTCACCTGTGCTTTCACCACACAGCTCAGACAAAGGAATGCACTTCGAATGTGAGAATTGTGATGGATGGGTGAAAACAACCTAGATATTGAAGATAACTTGTATGTAAAATAAGTGGAATTTTTCATACTATTAAGAACTGAGTTTGCTGGGCAAAAGTTGCTCACACCTGTAATCATAGCTACTTAGGAAGCTGAGATCAGGAGGATCATGATTCAAGGCCAGCCTGGGCAAGTAGTTAGCAAGATCCCACTTCCAAAATAACCAGAGCAAAATGGACTGGCGGTGTGGCTCAAACAGATAGAGTGCCTGCTTTGCAGGCATGAAGCCCCGAGTTCAAAAAAGATGTGAGTTTGTGACTACAACAGAAATGGTGGTGATACCTCTAGACTGAACAGTAATTGCATTTTACCTCATACCTGAAAAGGACTCTGATCTGTTAATGGATATTATCTAGCATTTTTGGTTTGTTCGGATATTGAAGATAATATCCATGAATAAGGTCATTATAACTTTTGATGAATTTAGTGTAAATGAGGTTTATAAGCTATCCTTTCATCCCTACAGTTCACATGTCATGCATATGCTTATAATTTGGTACTCTGTTTGGATAATGTATTAGCTGTTCTCTCTTTTTCTTTTCTAACAGCAGTATTGAGCCGAGGCTCCTGTGGGAGAGAGTGGAAAAACTGGTGCCCAGGCCAGGCAGTGGCAGCTCCTCGGGGTCCAGCAACTCAGGATCCCAGCCTGGGTCCCACCCTGGGTCTCAGAGTGGCTCCGGGGAACGCTTCAGAGTGAGATGTAGGCTGCTGCTCCTTTGCTCTCTTCCTGTGAACAAAAAAGACCTGTGATTTGCATATAGCCACATATCACAAAATAGTGCTTTAGATTAGATTGCTAATGACACAGGCATTTAATCATAAAGCTAAATTTCAAAAGCTTTACATGTGCCTTGCACCGTGAGCACTTTGCAGTGCCCAATGTAATGAGCTAAATGTCTGAGCCAGGATTTGAACCATTTCTTCTAGTTTGGGCTCCACAGCCTATGCTATTATCAATATTGGTTACTGATAACATTATAATAGGTAGTGAAAACTGTGTTCATAATAAGGCATTAATTGAGACTATATGTTAAGTGGTGTGTGCTAATGAGGGATTCTAGGAAAGTCTGCCAGAGAACCCCTTAACCCCCTTTTTGCCATGGACTTCAGACTACATGTGGAGACCTTGCTGTGAATGGGGCCAACAAAAGCAAGCAGGGAGAAACAGTGGAGTTGATAGGCTAGGAGAATTCTGTGACATATGTCTATATATTTATATGTGTCTGTTTTTCTTGTCTCTTGAACTTAACAGCATCATCCAAGTCTGAAGGCTCTCCATCTCAGCGCCTTGAAAATGCAGCAAAAAAACCTGAAGACAAAAAAGAAGTGTTTAGACCTCTCAAGCCTGCTGTAAGGATTATGTAAAATCTGTCTTTCTTAATTCACACATGAGATCTTTGTATTGAAAATACGGTTCAGGGGCTGAGTTTGTAGCTCAGTAATAAGAGTGTGTTTAACAAGTGAGAACAGCGTATAGTCCCCAGCACCCAGGGATGGGAAGGTTGGGAGGAGGTAGTTGAGAGGCCTGCAGTTCTTTCATTTGGGCCACTCCTAGCTATGAGGAATTAGAAGGAACATCCTATATCCAGGACACTTTCATGCCAACTCTCTGAGGCATCTCATTTCCTACATGAAGTCCTCAATATAATGTAGTCTTTCTTTTAATGTTTCAGCATACACTTGGTGTTCAGAAACACAGAGCAAACTATAATTCTTACTTAATGAAGTATTCTTCTAGGAAAAATAGACACTTGCTGACAATAGAATAGAAAGAAGATCCTTTTTACTGTTCTGCTTGTCATTAACCTTTACCTGTTCTTCATGAATTGGGGCATTTACAATACTGACTTTTAGAGTACATCTTCAACTCACCTGTTGCTTGAGTTCTGCCTGTTGGTCCCTGAGGTGATAGCTACGATTACTTCTCATACTTGCCCTTTACTCCCTTTCATATTAACTGGTCATATAAATGTGCCAATTTGTTGTAGAATTTTAAGCCTATTGGAGTTTTGATTTCTTGCTTGTACTGATTTCTGCACTTATCCCTTTCCCTTCTTTCTGCTGCTACCCCTCCGGACTCTGTGAAACTGCTGCATCCTGAAGGGCGAAGTGGTAAGCCCAGCTCTGACTGCCCTTAAACATAGCTTGCATTTCAGCACTGCTCTGGCTTCATCAGTTTGCCTTTAACTCTTTTCTAGGTTTTAAAAACCTTAAGCTTTTACGATTTTAGCCTTGCTAATGTGTAAAATACTCTCCATGCTTTTATTATTACTATTAAAGCTACAACTATAAATACAAAATTATTAACAAGATTCATGACCCCATACTTGAATGCTTTTATTTCAGAGACTCAAGGTCAAAGACAAAATGAATTTCTGACTGCAAAAAAGAATAACTTAAAAAGAGGAAAATAACTTTATAGTCAGCTTTTTTTAAAAAAAGAAAATAAGAAATAGTACTTATAAGTAAAATTCCCAAGTAAAAAGATGAAATTTGGATTTATATGAAAATGTGGGCTATACTCTTGAAAATTGTATTTGGTGAATTGATATGAGACTTGGAATATCTAAAAGAGTAAAGGAAAACAAAGCCCTTTTTGAATAAATTTTAATATTTTTTTTTTTCTTTCTAATGTTCACATTCACTGACAGTGTTATGGGGAAATGTGGGTAAGGTTAGAAGATGGGAAAGCCCACTTTGGCCTCTTGCAGCAGCACATGAGGCTCACCACTATCTCCTTTTATATGTCATGGGTCTTCTTCAGAGATGTGACAAGTTGGTAATAGCAAAGTGAAATGTGAATATTATGCTGGTTCTTATTTAACTTTGTCACTTTGCTGTAGGCCTGGGGTTTTTAATAAAAGCTTGAAGAAAAAGGGCTAAAATACTTGAAATCAGATTGGTTTAACTAGAAATTTGCTTTCTGCATAGTCCCTTTAAAAGAAAATTTTGTTATATAGGCAAATGTCTTTAAAACAAAACCTAAGGTTCTGTGTGTGTGTGTGTGTCTAGAACTTTATAAAAACAATGCTCTAGCTTACCATAAGCAGTTGTTATGTTGTGGTGAGATTTGAATTATCTTAGGATTATTTGTGACTTTTTAAATTTATTTTTTGGTGTACTGGGGTTTGAACTCAAGCCTTTGCGCTTGCAGGCATTCTACTGCTTGAGCCACACTTCCAGCCTGGCACCTTTGACTTTTCTCTTTACCCTTCAAAAGCCATAAAAACTCATCCTCAAGTGAAACTAAAGATGTGAATACCATACAAAACAGTTTTATAAAACTGGCATTATGGTAAGAGCTTCTTATCTCTTGGTTTCTTCTCCCTTCACCTAACTCTTCTGTCCTTTGCATTAGGATTTGACTGCACTGGCCAAAGAGCTTCGAGCAGTAGAAGATGTGCGGCCACCTCACAAAGTGACAGACTACTCCTCCTCCAGTGAGGAGTCAGGGACGACAGATGAGGAAGACGATGACGTGGAACAAGAGGGGGCTGATGAATCCACCTCAGGACCAGAGGACACCAGAGCAGCGTCAGTCTTTAGTGTGTTTAGGGAGGATAAGAGTGTTACCACTAACACTGGCAACCAGGCAGTTTCCCGAAACCTGTCACATGAGCCTGAGCATTAATACGTAGTTTTCACGGACTCAGCAGCAACAGCTTTTGTATTTGTCTCCCTTGTGTCCCTTCTCTGTGAGTGCACATTATCAGTGCCTCTGTGACACCCCAATGTGTACTTTACTTTTTTTCTTTTGTATAAGGATCTTATGAAAAGGAAATTTGTTTGGTATAACTCTTTTAATTGACTATAAGTACTCATTCTAACTTTTTGCTCAGAAACAAACTGAACTTCAGGGGAACCCTTTGTCGAAGGGACAAAACTAAGCCTTTGCTTTCCTTGAGGAAACATTATACCTGCAACCTCATCTTAACCTTACAACTTTGAGAGGGTGAAAAGTCTCAATAACATATCCTTGAGCTTTGGGAGTAGGACCCTTCACTTCTGGATTTTGTCTCCGTAGGTCATCTCTGAATTTGAGCAATGGTGAAACAGAATCTGTGAAAACCATGATTGTTCATGATGATGTTGAAAGTGAACCAGCCATGACCCCATCCAAGGAGGGCACCCTAATCGTCCGCCAGGTACCTGTGTCTTCTCTCCGATGTCAGAGGCTGAGCTTCTCCTGTAGTCATTAACCCACTTGCTCATTCACTCACTCATGCTGTTTCTACATCCTCTGTTTTCATGTTAACAAGCTCCTGAGGGTAGCGTGTCTGGGGCTAGGGAGGCAGGTGCGTGCTGCATGCCGCGAAGGTAGCCAGTAGTCTCTCACCCCACATTGCTGTTCCCCTGCATGCCTGCAGCAGCCCTCATCCAAGCTCTGCGCTGAGTCTCACAGTCTGTGTCTGAGCAGTTGAAAAGCCACAGGGAGTCCTATGCGGGCTCAAAGAGTGAAGGCACAGATCCAAAGCTTGTGGAAGAGCAGCCATAGAGGGTCTGCTAAGGGTGCCTGGCCCTCAGTGTCTGTGGTGCTGCAGCAAGAGCAGATGAGGCAGGCTGGACAAACCTTGTCACAGCCCCAAGGCACAGGGTTGGGAGGTCTCCCTTCTGTGCTTTCCCACTTGTTGAATTAAATGTGTGTCACCAGATGTGCTCAGTTTTAGTCATTAGTTTTACAACATTTTACTGTAGATCTATCCAAGTGATATGCTCCTCATTGAAATAGATAGGGCACCTAGCTGATCTTCGGGACTTTATCCTGAGAGTGTTGCATGCTACCACAGTGCATATGGATGGAAAGTAGGAATAACAAATGTGGAAAAGACCAGGATTCAAAGAAGCTACAGGATATTCTAGACTCTTAGAAAGAAAAATCTGTAAAGAAAAAAAGGGGTAGTAGTCTGCAGGAAGTTCGTGCCACAGATGAACCAGATGCAGCCCTCCCTGTTTTGTGGCCCCCTGATGAGGTACTTTGAATTCTGTTGGTTCAACTTAGGCATTTGGTGAGGAAGTGTGAGCAATTCAGGCTAATATCCTTGGTTTTTCCTTGGTAATTTAGTGGAGTTTGAGAAATTACACAGCACCTTAAATGAAGCAGTTATCAGTAGGGTTGTAGGTAATGTCAGCAGCACTTGAGCGAGACCAGTGTGCCTGTTTTTTCTACAGAGTACAGTTGACCAAAAGCGTGCCAGCCATCATGAGAGCAATGGCTTTGCCGGTCGCATTCACCTCTTGCCAGATCTCTTACAGCAAAGCCATTCCTCCTCCACTTCCTCCACCTCCTCCTCCCCATCCTCCAGCCAGCCGACACCCACCATGTCCCCACAGACACCCCAGGACAAGCTCACTGCTAATGAGGTATGTCTCGCACCACAGCTGGCTGCTTTCCTGGGGTTAGACCAGCACTGCCTAGGAGCTAGTTTGCAAAGGAACCCTTCCCAACACCCTCTCCCCTTCCCTACCTGCTTTCTTCTGTCACCTACCCTCCTCCCAACCCCCAAGTAACATGTTTCAGATCTGCATACAAACCCCTTAACCCTAGGTTGATTCCCTCCAAACTTGCCAGTTCACCATGTACTTCCTATAGATAAGTATAGTTGCATGGCTTTCTTTATTCAGTTTTTTAAAAATCTAAATAGAATGATTGCTGTGTTCTTAGAGCCATTATATATTTGGCATGAAATTCTTGTAGTTATTTGTGGAATCTCCCTTTGACATTCTTTTAATCCAGTAAATAAAGTACAAGAAAATTTGGTTGCTTAGACTTCGGTTTACCAGAGCAAACTTGTTGTCTTGTATGGGAATCTTCTTCAAACAGGCCTGGATTAGTTTTAGTTTGTTTTGTTTTGTCTTTGTTTATTTTGGGGAGGGTGGCTATTGGTTGGTTACTCTTACTTGTTTTCACCAGCCCCTAAAAAGGATTTGTTTCCTTGAAATTCAGTCTCTCAGTTTAAGAAAAGACAAAAGGTTTTCTGGGAAAATCTAGAAAATTAGGATGCTAAGCCAAGGACAAAGGTCTGAGTGTGCTTTTAACTTAGATTTTATACGGGAAGTCCTGCGTGTTTGTGGTGTGGCTGTGCTGCTCCATTGCGTGATAGCTGGGTGATTCTTTGCTCTTTGAACAGGGTCATATCTAAGTATAGTGACAGAAGCCTGCCTTGAGCTCTCTGTCAGTTAGACAAGTGATTTGACTTCATAGGAGGTTTGGTTTAAATGCATTTACCTAACTGTTAAGAGATGTCAAAACTGACATGCAGCTTCAGCCATTCTTGTTAATGTGAACACTGAACTGACTGCTGCTCCTGCTTTGTTCCCTTGTTAGACAGAATCAGAAAAATCCTTTCCTGAGGAGCAGGCAAAGTCGACTGCTTCCAGGCAGGTTCAGCATAAGATTGACCATTGAATGGGTTGGCCAAACTCACGGGGCAGGACAGATGCTTGTGAGGTGGCATGTGTGTCAGTTGTGGAGCTTAGAGGAACCAAAGCTATTAGACGTGGTGACTTTCAGGGGCCCACAGAGGGAGTGAAATGGTACAGGACAAAAGATATGTTCTTTTTTTCTCGCAAGATAGATAACCAACCTACACTCCATTCTTCCTTGTGTTTATATTTTACACTTTGCTCCATTTTACTATAACCCTTAACTTACTAAACTGGCAAGTTTATTTTTCTGTTTGTTTTATTTTTAATCATCATTACATTTCCACTTAACAATTTGTTTCACTTTCTTTGTGGTTTTTTTTGTTTGTTTTGCTTTGGTTTTTTTGTTTTCGTTTTGTTCTTTTTTTTTTTTTTTTCTTCCAGTCTTAAGTTACATTATTAACCAAAACACTAGTGCTCCTAAAAGATCAGGAAGCTGTACCTTGTTTTGTTGTTTGCACCTTTCACTAATGAACCCCTGTTCAGTATGGGTCTATTGGTGATGTACCTAAACAATGAGAGCCAAAGCTTCTGTAGCTTTTTGGCAAGAGGCTCAATTTAAATAAGATAAAGATTTGCCAAACTCTAACATAGATTAATTGGACTTTTCTGAACAGAAAAATAAATTTAGAAAGTAATTACTTGAAATCAAGACTTCTTAGACCTCCTTTAGGAGTTTACATTGTAATTATTTATGTAATTTAAAAAATGTAGAAGCATGTAATGCAGGTTTTGCTGGTAATTTGCAGCATCACTGTCAGAGATGCACATCAATAGGTGTAGCTCCTCCAGTGATTGCAGGCGAAACAACCTGCTGGGGTGTGCTGCACCCACATGGAGGCTTCCTGCAGAGTGTTTTTGGGGGAATGATGCAGGAAGACTAGGGTTCAGATTGGGAAAATAGTACAGTAAAGAAGGGAGTTGAAATGTTTTTTTTTTTTTTTTTTTTGATGTTCAGTTTTTAAATGTCATTTGTATTAATGAAATTGAAATTTACATTGCAGACTCAGTCCGCTAGTAGCACACTCCAGAAACACAAATCTTCCTCCTCCTTTACACCTTTTATAGACCCCCGATTACTACAGATTTCTCCATCTAGTGGGACAACAGTAACTTCTGTGGGTAAGTACAGCAGCAACAAGAAAGCAGCTGACAAACAGGACTTGGTCCCTTTGTGTAACTCTTTTAAGTGGCTTAGGCATGGCTTGAGTGTTGTTCACAGGCACAGACCTCGAGTACAGAGACTTCCCATTCCACTTTCATTGCCTTATTTGCAATGAACTGCATAGTCGATTTCCTTTTTCCATATACATTTCTTACAAAATGTCTTCTCTTTGATAAAGTGTCAGTCATGGCATATGAATGTTTACTTGGTATATAGTGAAGGAGGGAGGCAGGTGTGGTATGTATGTACAGAAAATAATGTCAAATGTACTATGTTTTAGTAGGATTTTCCTGTGATGGAATGAGACCAGAAGCCATAAGGCAAGATCCTACCCGGAAGGGCTCAGTGGTTAATGTGAATCCCACCAATACTAGGCCACAGAGCGACACCCCTGAAATTCGAAAATACAAGAAAAGATTTAACTCGGAGATTCTGTGTGCTGCTTTATGGGGTAGGTCTACTGCTGTTCTCTCAGTTTTATTCTGAAGAACAGGCTAGGTTTTGTTTTGTTTTGTTTTAAGAGAATTACTACTTTGAGTAGTTTGAGATTTTTTTTCGAAGGGTCAGTGACTTCTGTGATTCTTGTCCTGTGGCTGAGTATGCATGTGTGGGTTGCCTGTAGTCAGTTCAGCAGTTGGGCATTAGAAAGAATGACCAGGGCCCTTTCTTCATATAAAGAGGAGCAGGGAAAGGATGAGATAGCACTTGGTCCATATTTATAGGAAGAATGAAGAAGTTCATTGAGATGTTTTTCATTAAATATTGCATGTCCATTTTTTTTCTTGCCTTGTGATTTTGGTCTAACATTCATATGAGACTTCTTAAAGCAATCCGTAGCTGCCCAGGGGTCTGTTATCTGACTTGCCTGTGTTTGTACAGCATCCTTAGAACTTTAGACACTGCAAGGGGGCATTCATGAGGAGATTGCTGCATATGAATGTCTGCCTTCTCAAATTCTGAAGCATGCCTTTCTGCCAGCGCTGGTCCTATACTTGTGCTTACTCTGTCTTCCAGTTCCACACATTGTTTTTGTTCTTCACTACCTTGAATGCTGTAACAATCTCTTACTCTCTTGATGTTGTACATATAAATGAGTAAAATGCAGGAAATCCCTTTGAGTTTAGTGGATATTCCCAGCTGTCTTATCCCTTGAATATCAATAGCCCCCCCACTCCCCATAGTGGTGAATCAGCTCTCCTCTCCTCACCCACCTGATCCCCCTCATACTCAGCCACTCTCCTTCCTGCTGCTTATAGGAGAAATAGTGAGCTGACCCAACTCTATAATCTTTTTAACCTCAGAATGTCCCTGTTTTTGAGGACTGGACCAGGGTTTAATAAAATTTACCCTCCTGCTTTTCCTTTTCATCCATCTCCTTTACTTTAGCTCAACCTTGACTTCTTTCTTGCCCTTTCCTAAGCCCCTGCTTAGCCCCTCAGAGTCCCTAAGTGGTTAGAAGAGTTGTCCATATCCATCACAGACATACCAACTTTCTCTTATTCTATGGGATCTGTTTTTCTGCCTTTCTCACTATTGAAAGAGTATTATAAATCCCCTCATGATCATGTTGTAAGGCATTTATTCACCACAAGGTAAGAAAGTTGGTGTTTTGGGGGGTAATGGGCATCACATGACAGCACTTATTGCAGCAGCATCACTGTTAAACTGCTGTTGCTCAGTGAGTAACAGTTGCCATAATTTTAGGGAATGGAGTTTCATCATTTTTATTCATATCAAAGGATTTTAATGGGATTATTTTATCCTCAAAAATTGCTGTATCACATTTAGTGTAGAGATTGTGTTAAGCATGTCAGGGTTTTGTTTTGTTTTGATTTATCTTATTTATTTATTTTAGTACTGGGGTTTGAAATCAGAGCCTTGCACTTGCCAGGCAGGTGCTGTACCACTTGAGCCACACCACCATCCCTTTTTGCTCTAGGTATTTTTCTAATGGAGACTCACATTTATGCACATTTATGCCTGGGCTGAAGTCTTTGTATTTATGCTTCCCATGTAACTGGGATGACAGATTCATGCTACTGTGCTCAGCTTTTACTGATTGAGATGAGGTTACAAGAACTTCCCCCAGGGTGGCCTCAAACCATGATCTTCCTGATCTCTGCCTCTTGAGTAACTAGAATTACAGGCGTATGTCATCATGCCCAGCCTAGTTCTTTTGAAATTGGTAATCCATGTTTAGCAGGTGGCATCATTTTATCCAGAGTAGACATGCTTCGTAGCATTCTTATATTCCACTAATGCTCCAAAAACGTTCTGGGTCCCATTCTATGTACCCTCGACTGACATTTTCCCATTACCTAAAAAGACTTGTAAATATTCTTTTTTCCTAATTCACTTCTTCAAAACTTAAAAGGAAATTGTTGTGTGTCTTTAAAAATGTGGTGGAACTTGCCATTTTTTCATGTTAAAAGAGCAGATAGGGAGTTAACATTGAAAAATATTTCTGTAAGTCAGTGTTTTTCAGAGGCTCCTGAAGAAGGGGCATATCAGAGGTGGGTTTTTAGTATCTCAAAAGTTAAAAATGAGCCTTTTAAAGATTTAAAACATTTACCATGAGAGCTACAGCCTTACAGGAGGGAAAAATTGAGAATTTTAGAGATAGCTTTATTTTGGAATAGTAAAGTCCACAACAAAATTTAGGATTTCGTTTAACCTAGAGAATGCTTGCAATAAGTATTCTTTTGTATTTATCTTTGTAAGAGACTTTTGTTTGTAAATTGTTAAATATTATATGTGTAACACACATTTTCATTTTTTGAGATGAGGATCTCACTATTTTGCCCAAACTCTGGAACTCAAGCAATCTTTCTGCCTCAGCCTCCAGAGGAACTGGAACTACAAGCAAATGTCACTATATCTGCTTTATTATATTTTTAATGAAGTTATTTTTCCCCTATTTGGAGCTAGGTTTACTTATAGCACACCACTTTGAGCATGATTGTTTTCCATTATTATATTCATAGTGAATTTTCTGCACTTATTATGTTACTTTTCCTATAATACTATAATTTATCACTGAATCTGAATGAAATTTTAGATCATGTATTGTCAACCTATACAGGATTCTTGTGAACACAATTGTAATTCTTAATAAACTAATCTGTGAACAATTAGAATGGTTGGGAAGGGAGCCTTAATATGAGCATTACAAATTTGATTATAAAATTTAATTAATTGAAAAGTTACATTGTATATTTATAAAAATTACTGCAAAGGCGCCTTAATGTAAGTATTATAAAATTGAGTGATGATGTATAGTTATGAGGAAGTAGAGATTGTCTTATCAATCTGAATTAGGGTCTGTGTCCAACAGTTATAAAGTAGCCAAAACCTGAACTAGGGTGAGAGCAGAGGAAAGGGGAAGGGACAGAAAACAGTAGGCATTACCTAGATTTGGTGGCTAGTTTAGCTAGTTTTTCTAAGCAGGAAAGTCGGTTGCTGCAGAAAGTTGTAGTGAGTGGAAAAGCAGAGAGGCACAGTATGGGTTTAGGAGTTCCTGGTTCTGAGATGCTGCTTGAGCGCAGGTGAAGATGTGTGTCATCAACCAGACAGCAATGGCAGCTTCTCTGTGTAAGTAAAGAAGGTGTGTGGAAACAGAGGACACTGCCCACCACAGTAGAAGAGTAGGCAAACCAGGCCAGTACATGGTCAGAGAGTTTGGATGGGTCACAATGAGGAAGTCCCAGTATTTTAATATCCCTAAGAGATGGAGGGGTGAAAGAACTGAGTGTAGTTTTTTCTTGATGATGGTGGAGACTGAATGATAAAAGCCAACTCATAAGCTGGTAAGGATTTGAGGGAGGGAGCAGAAGGAAGGGGAGGGCAAGCGTTTTATATATATATATATATATAAAACTCAATCGAGAAGTTGACCAATGAGTATAAAGGAAGCATGAAGGGACCATGGCATCAGGTGAAGTGTCTGGTATGGCTAGGTAGATGTAGGATCTGTAAAGCCACAGAAATAGTAAGCACACAGCACCCTGGGGGAACTGAAGATACCCTGAAAAGGATGGACCATATGGCGGTTGGGATGAGGTTTCTTCACTCTTCCCCTTACATCTTTTCTCATAGCTAAGTAAATAGTCATTGTGATTCCTACTTGATCATTTGTTGCAGGTTTTGTTGCTTTAACTTCTGACTATTCTAAGCATTTCTTTTTCTGAGTGAGGTACAGAAGCTGACCTCTTTTACAAGAAGGGGGCTGTTAGCCTTTCCTTACAACCTGCTATTGTCCAAGTACAGTGTAAAACTTAGCCCTTTCTGTGTCCTTGAAACAGGGGTGAATTTGCTAGTGGGCACAGAGAGTGGTCTGATGCTGTTGGACAGAAGTGGCCAAGGGAAGGTATATCCTCTGATCAACCGAAGACGGTTTCAGCAAATGGATGTACTTGAGGGCTTAAATGTCTTGGTGACAATATCTGGTAAGTGTTTGTTTAGTAAAGCAGAATCTGTAAAACTGTTTACAAATACTATAACTTTACAAACTAAACATCAGTAAACTTATTCTCTGATATGCCAACTAAATGAGGTACAGCTATATTGTGAGTTTGCAGTACTGTGAAAGGAAGATACTCATAGCATGACACACCAACTTCTCCCTTTACTAACATCTTGTATTAGTATGATGCATTTGTGGCACATATTATTTCTTAATACATTATTACTAACTAAAGAACAGAGTTCATATTAGGGTTAACACTTTGATTTTGACAAATTTATAATGATTTGTATCTGCCATCATTGTATCATTTGGACTAATTTCAATGCCCTAAAAATCCCTATTTATCCATTTTTCTGAGACCTTGGTAACAACTGACAGACTGTTTACTGTTTTTTCCTATTCCAGAATGTTATGTAATTGGAATCACACAGTGTGTAGTCTTGTGTGATTAAATATAGATCATATAATATATAGACTTTTGTAGGTAGCCTGGCTTCTTTCCTTTAACACAATACATATTTACGCTTCCATTATGTCTTTTTGTGACTTGCCATGAAAGAAATGAACTTTTATGTAGTAGGCTTATGTTTTGAAACATCACCATAATTGCTTATTAAGTTTCAGGAGGTTTTTTGTTTTGCTGTGTTTTTATTTTTCTGACTCTGATACTTTCTAACTAGACAAAATTATCTTCTAGAAGCAAAGATAGTTTTATTTCTTCTTTCTCAATCCTTATATATTTTTCCTTTTCTTATTGCATTGGCTAGGACACCCAGTATGAAGTTTAATGGGAGATAAAAGGGGACATTCTTGTCTTATTCCATATGTTAGAGGGAAAGCATCTGGTTTCTTACCATTAAGTCTGATGTTAGCTGTAAGTGTTGTGTAGAAATCCTTTAGCAAGTTGATGCAGTTTGCTCAGTATTCCTGCTTTCCTGATACATGAATGTGGTTTGGGTTTGTCTTAATGTGATTACGCTTTTTCCTGTTTTAGCCTGTTGATGGGAATGTGTGGCTACTTTTGTTGAACATCAGTTTTTGATGCTTTTAGCAATAGTTGGTTCCTCTTTGTTCCTATATGTGACTAGACTATGATTTATTTATTCATTCTGCTGTTGATTGAAACATTTGTGTTGTTTCTCATTTGGGCCTATTATGAACATTACTTACATATTTGGGGGCTAAACCGCATAACCTATGTTAGGAGAGAAGATACTGGATCATATATAGGATATGCCTACATCTTCCTGTGGTAGATAATGCCAGACTTTTTAAAATGGCTCAACACTATTCTATTAAGTTTCTAATTGCTCCATACTTTGCCTTAGTTTCGTATCATTCTTTTTAACGCTTCACATTCTGATAGCTTTATTAAATTCTATATCATTATGGTTATTTATTTATTTGGTGGAACTAGGGTTTAAACTCAGGACTCTGTGCTTGTAAAGCAGGTGTTCTACCACTTGAGCCATACCTCAGTCCATTTTTTTCTAGTTATTTTGGAGATTGGGTTTCTTGAACTATCTGCCTTGAACTGCTTCCCAAGTAGCTAGATTACAGGTGTGAGTCACCTGTGCCTATCTCATTATGAGTTTTTTTGTTGTTGTTTTGGTGCCACTGGGATTTGAACTCAGGACTTCATGCTTACTAGGCAGGTGCACTTACCACTTGAGCCACTCCTCCAACCCTCTCACTATTAAAGCAGCACCTTCCTATGTACCTATAAGATAAACTTCTTTTGTAAAATGCCTGTTTTAGTTGCTTGTCTAGTTTTTCTATTGATTTATAAGAGTTAATTACATAGTCTAAATGTTAATCCTTTCTGAGCTGATTGCTACACATTACTAGTCGTCACTTGTCTTTCCCTCCATTAAAGTCTCTGTATTGGACGATTGGTTTAGCCCTTATGCTTATCTGTCAATTGGGGGATAACAGCTACTCTAGAGTGTTTTAAGAGTCAAATAACATAATACATGTCAAAGCATCTTAAAGTTCTGTTAGTTGCGTTATTGTGTTAAGAGGATATAGGAAAAAAAATCAAACTCAATTTCTCATATACTTTTTCACTCAACAACAATCAACACAGAAGACTTCTGTGACCCCAAAGGGTATGGGGATTTCTCCTCAACAGCAAGCAAGCAATTCTGTAGCAACTGACAGCAGCTGGTGTCCTCTGATTCAGTTCAGTGTGACATTTACCTACTTGGAAGTGGCATCAGATACTACAGGTTAAGGGCTGAGACCCACAACACACAACTCCTTTAAACACCAGTATCAAATTCAGGCCTTGGGAACTTCTGACTGACTGGTTATATATCGGGGCTCCCACAAGCCCCTTCTTTGGTTTGATTAATTTGCTGGAGCAGCTCACAGAACTCAGATTTATGTCTATTGGTTTTTATTTTGTTTTGTTTTGTGTGTTTTTTGCAGTGCTGGGGATTAAACCCAGGGCCTTATTCATTCTAGGCAAGCACTCTACCACTGAACTTCATCCCCATCCCTGTTTGTTCATTTTTTCTTCAAATAAAGGGTATTCCAATGGAGACAGATAAAAAGGAAGCACAGTGTGAGGTATGAGAGATGGGGCACAAAGCTTCCATGCCCTTCCCAGGTAGACCATCTCCCATGAACCTTCATGTGTTCAGCTGTCTAGAAGTCCATCTTAATTCTGTCATCTTCAGCTTTTATGGAAGCTTCGTTACATAGGAATGATTGACTAAACATTTGGTCAGTGATGGTAGACTTAAGCTTCAGTCCCTCTCCCTTCCTAGAGGCTGGGGTTGGGGCTAAAAGGTTCAACCCTCTAATTCTGCTTGGTCTTTCTAGTGACCAGCCCTCATCCTAGAGCTGCCTAGGGACTGACAGTCATTAGCATGTAAGAAGATACTTATCACTTTGAAGATTCCAAAAGTGTATGAGTATGCCAAAAAACAGGGACTGTATATATCTCATAGTATTTATTGATAATATCCACCTATGTAAGTGTGAGTTCATTAGTCTTTCAGAATCTTCTAGTTTTCCTGTACCCACTGATAATTTTGTAGGGGCTTCCAAAGTCCCCTTTACTAGTTTAAATTGAGTTCTCTAGTAAAACTGCTACAAAATAATTCCCTTAGGGGAAATGGTGTTTACTGTTTATAAAAGCTTCTTTAGGATACTATTGCCATTAATGATACCTATTTGTAAATATGAATGTAAAATATTTATGTTCATTTTGCCAGGCAAAAAGGATAAGTTACGTGTCTACTATTTGTCCTGGTTAAGAAATAAAATCCTTCACAATGATCCAGAAGTTGAGAAAAAGCAAGGATGGACAACTGTAGGAGATTTAGAAGGATGTGTACACTATAAAGTTGGTAAGTGTTTTTCCACAGTTTAATTAGGTTTCAATTTAAGATTCATGTGCTCTGTGGAACTTATAATAACTTATTGCTGAAACATGTGGTGCCTTTCTGGTACTTTGTTTTTAAACATATCTTCTAATCTTGAAGTCTCAGCTAGACACTGTCCTACTGTACTTATGAACCTCTAACCGTACCACAGAGTTGTTCTGTGTGCTCACTGTGTCCTCAGTCTCCCCCACTTCTCGCATCTTGTGACAGTTTTTTCATCCTTTTTTTTTTTTTCTCCTTTGTTTTCATTTTCTTGCAGTGTTGGGGTTTAAACCCAGGAACTTGCAAGTCCTAGACATTCTACCAAGAAGCTACATCCTTAGTCCCCCACCCCTTCTTTTTGATAGTCCACCTTCTCCTCTTTAAGATGTGGCTCAAAGTAACTTCTTTAAGGAAGTCCTAGTAGATAAAGCCAACTAGTTTGGATTCTTCCTTTATATTCCAGGTTTATTCTCTGTTTAGAGAATAGCAAGTCTTGGCAGTCACTGATAGACCACTTGAGTTTGACCTATAGAGTATGGCTTGTTGTATTTAAATATGTGCACTGTGCAAAGCTAATGTGCTCTTGACTAGTAAATGAGGCCGCTGGCCAATCATTGTTTTGTTTTTTTCTCTAGTATGCATGTAGTAATTGTGAAATAAACTTGCACAGGAATAAAACCAAATCAAAAAAAATTTTTTGCATATTAAAAAAAGTACTGATAATAATATTAGACATACAGGGGAAATAATGGAGTATAGCCAAATTAAAGTTTTATGGGAATGAATAGAATTTGAAATAGAAAGTTTGTTTATATACTTAAGGTGATTAACATTAAGGAAACATGGGTTGTTGACTTCTTGGTTTATGTTTATTAAAGCACATATAATAATCACTTCTTCTCCCAAGGATATTACACTCCTTGACATCCTTCTTATTTTTATAGTCTTATCTGCAGCCCCCATTCACTGTTAATAATGAGTACAGGAGTCATCACAGTATTTGGAATGATTCTAAGTGATACTGAAAAAGAAGTACTCTTTCTTTGATATGAATTTGGCGATTAGGTTTTTCAGTGTTGTGTTTATGTGAAGTATTTTTATTTATTGAGATATAACTAAAATCATCTAAGGCTAAATTTAATAGCCATAATAACAAAACAGTTCCTAACATGAATAGATAATCCTGCAGGGGGAGCTATATCCTACAGGCAGGAGTGTCAGATTATACTGGACTTTTCATCTTTCTAACAGAAGTGCATCAGGTATTTTCTGGAGATAAGTATGAGTAATATCATTCATTCATTATCCTTATTGTTACCACCAGGAACAGCAGGCTATTTAAATTGATTTAAGTTAAACCTTAAAATTTAATTCCTCAGTGGCCTTTGTATATTCTGAGTGCTCAATAGTCACATGTATTCAGAAGTTGTTTTATTAAAGTGCAGATATAAAGCACTTATAACATTTCAGAAAATCCTATTAGTGCTGGTTTGTCCAGTCTCTTATAATCCTTGGTGTCTTAATGTTAATGTCAATGACTTATTTGAACAGTGACAATATGTGGAGTTTAACAAGGAAAGGTATCAAGTTATTCTCTCACAAAGAATCAAGTAGTACTGCGATGTTAGTTTATATAGAGATATGAGCAAGCCTGTGTGCAGGAGAGCAGGCAGTAAGTCATGCATGATTAGGGACATATGAGGCTACAGAAAGGAGGTAGTTGTTTTTCATAGTTGAAAAGAGGATTCTAGGTAGAATCCTAGAAATCACTGTTACTGTAAATCAGGAAATAATATGCTTCTCCAGTCTGACCTGCCAGGAGTAAGTTATCTTACTGCTTCTGTCTTGGTTTCTTCTTTAGTCATTGGAGACTTGGTACTTGATCTTTTGCATAGATGTATCTTATCTACTGATAGAATTCCAGACTTGAGAGTGTTGTGTATCACCTTCTGTATTCCTCAGTGTGAGCCACATGAGGAACTTTGGAAAAACTACACAGAAGACTCACTTTTTCTTTGTGATTCAGGAGCCTTTTGACTTCTAAGCTCTCAATACTTTATGGTAGTATGTCTGACATCATCCTTGATAATAAAATACTTGGAAACTAAAAAGTTAGGAACATTATTGAAAGTATTCATTGGTAGTATCCAGAGTATTGAAATTGAACCCAGTATAGCATCAAAAAAGATGGGAAAGCATGGATTATACATTAAAGAATTGGAAAAGGAAAGGGTGTGGCTTGATCTCTGTCTGTATTTTTCCCATGTGCTGTTTTTCATGACTCAACAAAAGGAATATTTGTAAAGTTTGAAGAAGACAACTAAAAATATTTAGAGTTCCATGTTGATACTGACATATGCATTCTTGCTTTTTATGTTTGTCTGTTTTTCAGTAAAATATGAGAGAATCAAATTTCTGGTAATTGCTTTGAAGAGTTCTGTGGAAGTCTATGCGTGGGCACCTAAGCCATATCACAAATTTATGGCCTTTAAGGTAACAACAGCAAGTGCATTTAAAAGTAGCATCTGCTGAGCAAACTACAACCAAGAGCCAGAGAATCATTTTTAAAAGTCTGAACAGTTAAAATTAACAATGTAAATCTGTTAATACAGAGTATAACTTTGTCATAAGACAGGCCTTTTCTAACATAATGTAATAAGCTTGGTTAATTGTTTTCCAAGCTCTGATACAATCAAGGTGCTGATATGATAATGGAAAAGATAAAACACTACTTTTGCCCTCCATTAAAAAGCAAACCATCACATAAAGACATAAGTGTATGTGAAGATCTAGATGGGTTTGAAAAGTGTTCAACAAGAGGCAATTCCAAGTGTGTCTGTTGAGTAGGGTAAAAATTAAAATGAATTTACAGAACTTCTTAATGACCTAAGCAACGTGTTATATATTAAGTGGAAGAAGGACGTTAATATGGTCCTATTTTTGTTTAAATTTAAAAAAAACTGTACATAGGACATTCAACCTCATACTTAAAATAAGATGGCTTTGTCATGTTTCATGTGCAGAGTTTTAGGAACGTGAATGAGCACTTTGTTCTAAAATTAGGACTGTTTCATGTGCAGAGTTTTAGGAACGTGAATGAGCACTTTGTTCTAAAATTAGGACTGTTTCTGATTGTGAGTTCATACATACTCATATAACTGGTTGCAAACCTACTTCTGGTGGTTTGATTTCTAAACAGGTGTGCGCAAAAAAAAATTTTAGTAAAGTTGTACTTCAGCTCTCCACTGTGCCCCGCCCCCCCAAAAAGTGTAGAAAATTGTCAGTACTTTCTGCGTGTATTTTTAGTAATTCTTTTCTTATAATTTAGACTTTATACTGAATACAGGTTTATGAACTTCTTAGTTAAAATTCATATTGTTCTGTCATTAGATAGAAATAAATTAGTAACACTATTTCTAATATTAGACATAAAAGTAGGAATGGTCCCTGGACCATTTTAGTGGTGGTCAAGAAAATCTGGTCTTAATATCCTTTATGTATGAGGAACTGTACTAGTTGCTTTTATATATATTATCTTAAATCTGTTCTGTTTTATCATCATTCTAGTTCTGTTACTAAGCTGTTAGTATTGATATTTATTAAGAACTGAAGCTATCCAGTACATGACAGGCTATTCCAGTACAATAAATCCTTTCATCTCATTATCAGCCAGGTCAGAAAATTAAAGCAACACTCTCTGTAGTTCACATAGTGACTAGGATGACAACCCCATTCAGATTTTCAAAATGTGACTCCTGTAATTTCTCTTCATTCCACCACTGAATTTGAATAGTCAAATACTATGCTGAAGAAAGTACTCATTATATGACTTTCCATGTTGTTCTGATGGAGACAACAATAGCACAGTAAGTGATAGCATAGAGTTCTTGGGCTATAATTTAATGTATAATTTCTGGAAGAAGCATCTTCAGGTACTAATTAGCTGACACAGTATAATAAAAATCTATTTTGTTACTGTGTAACTGAGTTTGTATGTCTAGCTTCTCCAGACTGATGTGCTAGAAGTAAGTTCTACTTTATCTTACTGCTTCTGTCTTGATTACTTCTTTATAGTCATTTGGAGAATTGGTACATAAGCCATTACTGGTGGATCTTACTGTTGAAGAAGGCCAGAGGTTGAAAGTGATCTATGGATCCTGTGCTGGATTCCATGCTGTTGATGTGGATTCAGGATCAGTCTATGACATTTATCTACCAACACACGTAAGAAAGAACCCACACTCTATGGTTGGTTGACTGGCTTCACTTTGTTTTGACTTTTTCCTTTACTCTGCTTAGTGAACTAACACAAGCAGGGTTTCCTCATTTCCCCATGGTGTGGGGGTGAGTATTTAAATGAAATACCATTTTCAGTAGTTCGATGCTCTGAGACAAGTGGAAATCTACTTTCCCTGTTCAGTGAAGCCCTCCTATAGACCTCTTAGCCCTTGCTTTGACTAACATGGGATGGATTTGGGGCAGTTGCTGGCAAGCCAAAACGGGTTGGGAGTGGATCTCAAATGGAGTCCACCATTCATATGTTCTGAGGGCTTCTGGAAATGTGAGTCAGTGGAGTAAATGACCTGTAAACGGGAGACTGGGATGTATATCACGTGGCTTTTCCAGAATATTACCTATGTGCTGTATGCATCACTAAGGATATAGTACCTGTGCATTCACTAGGAAGTCTTGCTGAGCACTTTCATATGGCTGGAAATAGCTACAAACATGCTTCCCTGTACTTGGCTCCTCTCTTCTAGATCCAATGTAGCATCAAACCCCATGCAATCATTATACTTCCCAACACGGATGGGATGGAGCTTCTTGTGTGCTATGAAGATGAGGGGGTTTATGTGAACACATATGGAAGAATCACGAAGGATGTGGTTCTGCAGTGGGGAGAGATGCCAACGTCTGTAGGTATGTAACACCAGGAAGAGGCAGTATTTGTGAAAGCAGAGCCTTCTCTAGGTCCACTTCTATTTGTCATAGCAACTTTAAAATTTTATCTATCTTATCTGTGTTTACTTATTAGAATACTAGGGATTGAACTCAGGGCCTTGGGCGTGTTAGGCACGCACCCTACTACTTAAACGGCACCCCCAGTCCTTCTGTTTGTATTTTGTTTTTAAGATTGTATCTCATTAACTTTGCCTGGGCTTGCTTCAAACTTGAGATCCTCCTGCCTCTGACTCCCACAGTAGCTGGGTTTTTAGGTATGCACCACCAAGCTCAGCTGTCATAGTAATTTTGTGTGCTGTTCAGCCTTCTGATCATTTAGTAGAGGAGTTAACAACAGATTATGGAAAGTTAGAATATAGACCATGAAACTGTCATAGATATATGAGATCCATGGTCTGATTGTTTAAATCAATTGTATACTTTTTAAAAACTCTTTTATCACTATCTCTAATTTAATTTTTAGGACATCCAGAGAAAATAGGACAGATATTTTCTGACCAATTTGAGGGGAGTAAAAAGTGACAAAGAAGCAGATATGATTTGCTCTAGAAACAGCCTGTCAGGAACTGAGGCTGACATTTGATGTCTTCGTGGCTTTGTGTTTACATCCCCAAACTGTTATGGTTTTATCACAGTTAAATCCCTATCTCTTTCTGCTCATCAGTTCTTGCCCCCACCTTTTCTTATGACACTCTAAACCATTCACTTAGTCATCCATTTCTGGAGATAAGCATGAAAGGTTTGAATTAGGAAACTAATTCAAACCCTGATTTAGATGACTGTTTCTCAAGGTAGACTAGTCAGTTACAAAGGAACAACTCTTTTTTTTTTTTTAAATTCAGGCCTGTATATGCTAGACAAGAGTGCTCTCACTGAACTATATCCCCAGCCCTAAGGCAGAGCTCCTTAAAAGCAAAAAGCAAAAATCCTCACATGCTGGCTATTTAGGTAGATGTGTGTGTATAAAAAACATCCTTTCAAGATTATTTCCTTATCTTTAATGATTTGTACTTTTCCCTCCCCTAAAGCATATATTCGATCCAATCAGACAATGGGCTGGGGAGAGAAGGCCATAGAGATCCGGTCTGTGGAAACTGGTCATTTGGATGGTGTGTTTATGCACAAAAGGGCTCAAAGACTAAAATTCTTATGTGAACGCAATGACAAGGTAATGTTTCCTTATCTTTTCTTTTGGTTTCTACTGTTTTTTAGCAGTGGTTTATTTTTACTTTGGTGTGTTTCCTTGCAGCTTGATAGATTCCAAAATAAGGAACTTTTTATTTAGTTATTTGGTAGTACTGGGGTTTGAACTCAGGACCTTAACTTGCTAGCCAGATGCTCTAACACTTGAGCCACTCCACCAGACTTGTTTTGTGTTGGGGATTTTCAAGATAGAGTCTCACAAACTATTTGCCCGGGCTGGCTTCAAACCGCGATCCTCCTGATCTCTGCCTGTCCAGTAGCTAGGATTACGAGTGTGAGCCATGATGCCCAGCAAGTTAACAAACCTTTTACACATGGCATTTTAATCATGCTTAAGGGAAATTGGGTACCAGAAGGTGCCTGATGTCCTGCTAATTACCATCTCTTCTCTTGCAGGTGTTCTTTGCCTCAGTTCGGTCTGGTGGCAGCAGTCAGGTTTATTTCATGACCTTAGGCAGGACTTCTCTACTGAGCTGGTAGAAGCAGTGTGATTTAGGGATTGCTAACTTCAGAGTCTTCAAGATCCTGAGAACTTGGAATTCCTTGCAACTGGAGCTTGGAGCTGCACCGGTGCAGCCAGGACAGCTGTGTGTCCAGGCCTCATGTGTTGAGTTCTTTATCTCCTTTCCTTCCCACTCTTTAGCCAGTTTATTCCCATTCTTTTTCTTTTCCTTACTCAAAAATAAATCAAGGCTGCCTCGCAGCTGGTGCTGTTCAGATTCTACCATGGGTGCTAGAAGTGTTTGGGGTTGAGCATCAGACCAGAAAGAACACCTTCCTGCAGCTCCAGAATTCCTTGTCTCTGAATGACTCTGTCTGTGGGTGTCTGGAGGTGGTGATGATGAACTTGCCACCGGTTTTGTGGTGGTGGGCACAAGGAGGTGAAAAAGTGGTGATGAAAGGAGCAGTTTGCTAAAGCAGAGAGCAGATTTAATATAGTAACATTAACAATGTATTTAATTGACATTTCTTTTTTGTAATGTGACAATATGTGGAGAAAGAAGAAGGTGCAGGTTTAAGAAGTTAATATTTATAAAATGTGAAAGACACAGTTACTAGGATAACTTTTTTGTGGGTGGGGTTTTGGGGTGGGTGGGCTAAGGGTCCCATTTTGTTTCTTTGAGTTTTATTTTGGGGGGCAGGGTTGTCCTGGCCAGGAAATCAGTCATTTTTCTGTGTACCAAGTTTTGCCTACATCATGTGCAGATGGTTCTAAAAAAAAATGAAAAAGAAAAAAAGAAGGAAAAAGAAAACATGTGCATTTTGTATAATGGCCAGAACTTTGTTGTGTGACAGTATTAGCACTGCCTCAGTTAAAGGTTTAATTTTTGTTTAAACCTAGAAGTGCAACAACAGTTTTACCACAGTCTGCACTTGCAGAAGAAAAAAAAATTCAACCTACATGTTTATTTTTTGCCTACCTCATTGTTTTTAATGCATTGAGAGGTGATTTAGTTTGTTTTTGGATGAAAATATTGTTTAATTTAATACCAAAACTATTTGATTGGAGTTTGACTGTTATTTTGTCACAAGTCTAAGCAGGCACAAGAAAAACTGTCTATGATGGTGGGAAATGGCCTTATGGCTAATGCAATTTGCTTTCAAAGTTTAGAAAGCAGAATGCTGCATTTTCATCCGACTCACTGTTAGTGGTTGATGGGCAACTGTTGCCTACAACATAGCAATCTCAATTGGGATTGGTAGCAGACAGGTGGTCATGTTAGAGTAGTCACACAAAACTGTTCAGTGTTGCAGAAACCTTTTCTTGGGGGTGAGGGTTTGTCCCTTTTCTAAAAATGCAATGCACTAAACTATTTTAAGAATGTAGTTAATTCTACTTATTCATAAAGATGACATCTTCTTGTGTTTTAGGTGTAACATTCAAAGCCCTGGCTTTTGTTTTCTCACTTGCTCTCTTGTTCTCTGTTTTTTAAACTAATTTTACTTTATGAATATGTTCGTGACATTTGTAATAAATGTCTTGAGTAATAATTTGTTTCACGGCTTTGTGGTTATCACTCCATTCCTCTAAGGATGCTAGATGTCAGTGAAGGAGCAATGCCCAGTCACGGCTCCACCATCTTGCTTTCCTCTTGTTGTGTTCTGAGTGGGAATATTGTATAACAACTGCTGTGCACTTCATTCCTCAAACAGAAGCTTTATGTTTTGTAGTCTTGATCTTCCTTTGTGGTTGATTTTCTTAAGTAGCATGAAAATGGGGCTTTTCCCTATTTTTCACCCCAAAATGTAAGAGTCATCTGCACATATTTGCCAAGCCTCTACCCAAGCTTGTCAACGTTGGCATCTCTTCTAGCAGCTTTCATGTATGTCATTTTTGCCAAAGGCTCTCCTTTGAACCATAGTACATACATTCACAAACGCAGAAAAATAGCTTGATACCCACAAGGACAAGATAAGCTGAGAAAGCCTTACTTTGTTTTGGAGGGTCAGGAAAATGAAAACGTTTTTTCCCTTGGTATGACTTTGGAGTAGTGCTAATGGCCAAAGTGGGCAGAACAGTTTCTTCTGTACTACTTTATGGTTGACCTAGAAGACCTAATCCCAGTTATGAAAGGTGCTGAGACGGACCAGATTCCATCACCAAAGGACTTCAGTTGGAATCAAATGACTGTTGGCAATACATTCATGTTTAGGCTTTTCATAAGATGAAAGGTGCTGTGGTGAATGCACGTATCAAGAAAAGTCAGAAACTACTCAGGTGATGTGGCCCTTTCCCTGACTCTAGAGAGATGTGAAAGATGGGCAGATGTCTTTGAAGAAACAACAAACGAATCAATCTGATAAGCAGGAAGTAACAAACTTCCAGTCTGTGGATAATGGACCATGACACCACATCCTGTGTCTCCTCAGTTAAGTGGTGTGTTACAAATAAGCAAATGCTGTCTCATTGGAATTATGAGTATCTAGAATTTTCTCTTACAAGAGTGTGAGAAGGGGTCTGAGCTCAAGTCAGAGCTGCACCTCCCCTGTGTGCATAGCCCAGGCACCCAGTGGTCACTCTCCTAGTGTTGACCTTAATAGAATCCATTGTCAGCTTAATTTACTGAGCAGATCAGCTGTTTGTCCTTCTGGTTCTTGACATTCACTTGCCTTGAATGCTTTGTTCTCCCCTTCTTGGCCTTACCACCTTGTAAAACAGGTTGACATCAAGTTGCAACATCCTAATTCAAGGGCCCTGTGAGGTTTTGCTATAGAAGATCGTGAGCTGTTGAGATTTCATATTCTTTTAGGGTAGGACTTATTTCTCAACAGAAGTGCCAATATGGCAAGATTGCAAAAGAAAGTAGTATTATGATGATACCATTACATCTGATTATTGAACTGTCTTAGAAATACTCTCCAACACAAAATAAAGCCCAGGCATGTTTCCAGGGTTAGCTAGAGCATTACTATCTTTCTGTATTGAGTGCACTGTTTTACTTTTTTATCATGCACATTTTGTGTTGGAATAGATGATTACAAAATGTTTTTGTTACACTAATGGACATTACATATTTATGCTTTATTTTTAAATGATTTTTATGGATAATTTAGGTTATCTTAGTTGTAGCACACAAGGTGATTGCTAATCCCTATTTTTGCCAATTATAAATTTGCAAGACAGTAATACGAATAACAAGCTGCCTTAAATATACTAACCATGCAATGCAGACTGGTGGCAAGTACACAGCCTTTTTTTTTTTTTTTTTTTTTTTTGCAGTGCTAACTTATCTACTGTGTATCATGAAAATTACTGTCCCTCCCCTGCCATTTTTCTTAAATAAAGTAAAAGTGATACCTGTTTTTATGTGGCATGAGTTTCAAATATGTCCTGACCCTTCAAACGTTTCCTTCATGTCAAGATCCCTATTTTATGCATGTTCCCTCCCCTGACCTGCATACCTGGGCCAGAGTAGACTCCCATATCATGCTGTCTCCAGCAAAGGAAACTTGTGCAGTATTCATTACCAGTATAGGTTGTGAAAGTAGCAAGCATTGCACAAAGATGTCAGAAATAGGGAAGGAGTTCTCTGTTGCTATGTTCCAGAAGCTAAAAAGGAGTAAAACTGGCCCTTAAGGAAGAAGTGAGGTTGAATTTTTGCAAATCTGAATGGATCACAAATATATTTGTGTCAAATAGGACATTAAAGTAACCTTTTTTCAATTTGGCACATATATACGTGGGCCTGATTGCTAGAGGGTGAGGTCATTATGGCTGAGTGCTGGGGACCACTCATCCCTTCAGACAGGTCAGGGCCTGGCTGTCAGAGTCAGCACCTCCACTACAACTCTATTGCCATATAATAAAACTAACTCCTTTGTGCTTCATTCTAGAAACAATGTTATTTCTGTAAGGTGAAAATAAAATAAATACTCACCTAGGCTGCCAGATGAGTAAGGTTTTCTTTTCCTCCTTGATACTTGTTGGAGCTGGTGGAGTTTTCCTGGGACTGTCATGGAATCCTCCTGTCCACCCCCACCATCCGTTTGGTTGAGATTTCATTTTAAGGAATTAACCAGAGTCAAGTCAGACCTGTTTCTGACACCAGCTGTATGTTTTGACGTCACGTTTAAAGATACATACAATGGCAGCCTTAACTACCCTGCACCACTTTGAGAAGAAATACTGTCACTGCTTCACTTCATCAGACACAGATGGGTTTTTTTCTTATACAGTAAAAGTAATGGTAAAGTTTATTAGGAAAGGAATTTACTATAATAGTATAAAAGTGGAGAGAAATGGGGGACAAAAGGGAGAAATATTTCCTCCCCAAGCAGAAAATGGGAGTAAAGACTCAAAATAATGGCCCTTATCTCTTAATCTATATATTCAGAGAGCTGGGTGAAGCTGGTTAAAGGTAATGGATCTTGGTGGCTGAGATGGCTGCTAAAACAAGGTGTCATACAGGCCTACCCAAACCACAGGGACAATTGGTGTGCTTTAAAACTTCCCTTTGCTAGACATAATATTTTCCATCCATGCAAGGAGCCTAGGAACTTGTTAATATCTCACAGAGACAAAGTAGATAGCCCTGGAATGCAGATAGCGCTGTTCTTGTAATTAAAAGGAGATGGGAGGGAATAGGATAGCTATCCTGGCTTTTTAGGTCTTACTTCCTTTTTCCAATGTCTGAGTCTGGCCCTCTAAATATTTATTAAAATAATACAATTTTCCTGTCTCTAATCTATCCTGCCTCATCCATCACTCATGGCTAATTAATACCTAACATTTCCCCACTCAAGGACTAGAGACCTTGAAATCTTTTAGGGAATTGGAAATCATTATCTATTTCCTGCTAATATTGGCTGTAGGCCTAGGTCAGGAGTTTCTTGTATTTGATATCTGTCAATGGAGACAGCTGGAATCCCAGGTCATGGATGATCTAGGAGGCCCATGTTGAAGGGGACATATCCTTTGGAGATCATAACCAGTGGCAGTTGTGTTTAAGGAGGAGCCATGCTCAGAGTTTAGTGGAGTTAGCCCTTGAGTTGTATCATTTGTAGTTTCATAGCCCAGAGACAAAAGGAAACAAACTTGTTTAAAACATTATATAAGGCTTAATAAGGAACTATAGAAAAAAGCAAGTGACAGGAAGGCAAGGGGAGATTTTGTCCATTTGGAAAGTAGACAGGTATGGGCATCAGGTGATCATGTTTATGAATCAGTCCTTCCTGGACTGGTGGAGTGGCTCAAACTGTAGAGCACCTGCCTGGCAAGCATGAGGCCCTGAGTTCAAACCCCACTTTGGAAAACAAAACAATAATACATAACACTCCTTCCCAACCTCTCTTTGCTTTAATTGTTTAATTGCCTTTGGATGGCAGGGCACAAATGACTCCATTTGGAATCTGACAGTTTATATTTCCCCTTTTGTCTAAACAGTTTTAGTCTTTTAAAACTTTTTGAAAGGTCCCTTGTCACTGGGATAACTTTTTCCTAGTAGGTCTTTCCTAGTTGCCAGGATAAGATGTCCCAGTTGGTGTGTTTTGGTCACATTTTATAAGGGAGTGACAGGATCCAGTGGGAGTTAGTGCCATTTAAGACCCTTTTGGGCCAAATTTAAGCAACAAAGAGGTTTAGAAGGAGTGGCCACTAGGCTGGGCTTATCTGAAGTTCATTAAGTTTAATTTTGTCTGCCATAAGGTTATGTTCTGGCATTTTAAAAAATGCTCCTTAGTTCAGTTTGTTGGATAGAAGTTGTAGATTTACAGAGTACATCTCTATAGTAAATAGAACATCAGTAGACAAAAGTTAAAGTTTTACAAGGAAAATATAAAACAAAACCAATTAGAGCAAATATTTAAAGAAACAAATGTTTGAAAAATAAGTACTTGCTAGAGATGTGTCCATGATTTTGGTTATAAATGCCTTAGAGAAAGAGCCAAGCTGCAGATGACAAGAACACTTAAAATAGTCATTGTTAGAATTTTTAAATCTTTAACAATTTGCAACAGTTCAGTTATTTTTATTGTATATAGCATTTTAGGATAATAACTATAATTGGTAGCATTACACCATTACCATTAAGGTCTCCTTATTACAACTGGGAACACCTGTACACAAACCTGTAAATGTCTGCCATCATTAACCATTTTAACTTGGAGAGACATCTGCTTGGTATAGCATTTTTTTAATGTTGTATTTTAGAAGGCTTACTTGGAGAACATAAATACATTTAACATGTAAAGGAGCCAGCAACAATTAGCATCATAGTTTTATGCCTATTATACACATATATTAACTTATTTGTTACCCTTGGAGAAAAACCTTGAATCTTTGGCTAGAGAAGATAGAAGTATAGCATGAACCAAACCAGAATCCTAAATTTCCCCCAGTTAGGGGAGCATTGTCAATGACCCCAAATAGCCCTTGCCTTTTAATATTTAATTATAATATGTACATATAAAGCAATGCTTACCCAGCCAAGACAAGTAGATGTGGTTCAGGTTCCAAACAGCAAGGCTGCCCAAATGGTAGGTCTCCCATCTAGATGGCAGTGACCCTAAATATCAGAAATGCTAAAGGTCCTATTGACTATTTTTATATGTAGAAGGTTTAGATACAATATATCTTAAAAGAGAGCATCACTTCAGCTGATCATTTTACCTGTACTAAATTATTTTAATCTCTATAAATATTTGTATAGTATTTAAATGAAGTTTTGACATATAGCCCATGCATTTTTAGTACAGTGTTAAATGTATTAAAATCATTGAAAAGACATACTCAAACTGATTTAGTTAAGACTCAGTTTCCTAAATCATCAAAAGCTGAAAAAGTTAGAACACAAGCAATTACCTTGATAAAACAAAATTTCTCTCATAAACCAATTTTGAGCAATTACTAAGAGCAGACTATTTCTTAAGACAGAGAACTAGGTGCTAGCTTTACAACAATTTATTATATTTTGACTTTAGGAAAATCCTTAAATAGCCTTTTAATCCTTTAAATTATAGCTGTATCATTCACATACATGAACTTTTTATGATATTTATCTTTAGTTTGAACCTGAATTAATTCTTAATTGTCCTTTAGTTAAACTTGATTGAGATAAGAGAGTCATTTTATTTAGAGTTGCAATGGTTTTACATACTAGGTTTAGAATATTAATTTAAGAACTAATCCTATAGATGGCTATGCATACACACCACATGCACATACCCTCACTCACAAAGTTGTAAATTAAGCATTCCAAGACTGATGCACACATAAAAAAAAGAAACCTGAAAATCTGCCATAGTTAATTAATTGTTTTCTGGAATTCCAGAGGCAAAACTTTCTCCCCAGTGCTTGATAAGACTAATGTACACATTTATATAATTATATCCATTTGGACAGTTTATCCATAGGCTAATAATAATCCTCCCTTGGAGGTAACAAGATAGCGCAGGCCACGTGTCTGCTATCCCAGCATTGTGGCAAAGATGGCTTCTTTGGAGGTGGGCCACTGGAGGAGCCTTGTGGCTCCATCATGGCGGCATTTTCCACGACCACAGGGTTTTCCTAAAGGATGTTTAGGCGGAGTATAAAACCGTGTTACTTAATAACATACCTATATGAAATGAACATCAAACAGAACAAACAAATGGGCACAAAAAAAGGAAACAAATATCTCTCCTTGACACAGAGCAAATGCAAAGTCAAGACGTCAAGGAATGGGGTTTAATTCCTTGGGCAGCGTATCAGTCAGGAGAAAAGTTGTTAGACCTTTGTCGAGCTTTAAACCTGAAGGTGATTTCCGTAGAAACAGATCACAGCCACTTTATGACTAGTAACAGTCAAACTAGTCCTGTACAGCAGCAGTGGACAGGAGAAACCACATCACATGGACATTGCTAGAAGGGGTTGGGAGAGAAAGACCAGGGGGCTGTCAAGTAGGCAGCAGAGTGGATCAGGTATCATCAGAGTGCTGGGATCATCTAGAATGTCTTGGAGAGGACAGATACAACTGGCCTCCTTCCTGCAGGTTCAGATCCTGAGAGGAATCTGAAGATTATCGACATAGGGAATCTTGGACCATTTAGAAGAATTATGGCAGAAAAGATCTAGTAGTGGTGTTGTCTTG